CTTCGGACAATGCAGGTCGAATTGCCAAATGAAATTTCAGAAGATCCCGACAGCCTTGTTGCAGGCGCTGATTGCGTTGACTGGGGCGTTGAGCCTGGAGTACGTCCTGCAGAAAGGAAAACTGCACAAGAACACGGACAATGCCTTCCATGGTTTGTGGATCTTAGCATGTGGTTTAAGGCGAATTAATGGCTTGTCGCCCCCCGCCCCCCCCCCACCCAATATCAAACAGTTCTATTCTTGGGTGTGGATTCGCACTTCTTCAAAGGCGTCGGTGTAGAGAGGCTGGTCAACACGGCTTTTTCTAAGACAATGCCCAATGGTAGCATCATGAACAAGCTTCCGGCACTGCAAGGAAGCAAGCTGCCGCATCCGACTGAGACAGATTGCATACCGCTGCATACCCATGTCCAAAAACTCCAAGGCTCGAAGCACTAGAGTCACTAGAGCCCCAATGAGCCCCAATCATAGCAACACACAGGCAGAAGCCTCTCGATGGTGGGGCACGGCTGTTGCCGCGACCCGCCTCAGGGCTTCATAGGGCAAGCACGCTCCGTTCTCTGTCGTTCTCTTGGCTCCTTCTGACAACCCTGTCGACCGTAGTATGCGGCATCCGGAAAACTGGATGTTTGCGAGAGTCTCTTAACAGTCTGACTCATAGTGCAATGCGCGCAGCAGCAAGCCGTCGCCCTACCGCGTTTTTTTTCGGTCGGCGGTGGGGTTGTCGTGTGGTTCTGTCATGTATGTAGTCTGTCTATTTCGGTCAGCCCTTCAGAATTCATTCAAGCTTCGTCACGCTTCAGGCTCGCAGGAAATAAGGGTGAGTTGGCTCTCACGGGCAACGATGAGACACACCAAAACCCGTCTACGTTGTCGTGTTTGTGTTGCGATTTCAACTCCCCGTGCCACGGCGTTGTGGTGAGTGTATTCGCGGCTGTTCCTCTGCCAAAGATGACCTGTCCAAGCCTCCCCAGACACAGCTTCTTTTTGGCTTCCTGGATTCGTTAGTCGTTAGTGCATGCATTCCTGAAGTGCCCACCATGCGGTTGATGACAAGGGAGAAACACAGAGAAGCAAATAACATCAAGGCCATGCTCAGGGTCTCTGACGGGGGCTCTTCAATTTCCAACCAAGCCCCCCCCCCCCCAAAAAAAAAAAAAAAAAAAACCTTCAGAAAACAGCATCTGTAGGACATCGACTTCACATCTGACACGTCAATGCGAGATATGCATTGGAGAGGCAGACTGCCAGAACTCTCCCAGGTCGAATGATCCTTCACCTCCCCAAAAGCCCCCAAAGCTGCAACGGGCACATACTGCCGAGGCTGCCACCCCTTTGCCACGGCCTGGAGCGCAAAGAGTTTTCCAAGGTGCTGGGCTTTAGGGTTTAGTGTTGAAAAGGTTTTGGGTTAAGGGTTGAAAAGGTTTAAAGGGTTTAGGGCACTGTACTCCGGGTTCACAGGGATCAACCATCGAAGTTCTGGTTGGCTTTGCGTCATGTTATGTAGGCTCTAACTTTACAACGCGCCCCCAGGGCACCAAGCCACCTCCACAAAAAGACCCGATTGACCCTTTGTAAGGCAAACATCCTCAAACCCACAGGATTTGAGGCTCCTTCTGCCTCCCCAAATGCTCAACTCCTCTTCCTAAATCTCCCTGGCGCCTCCCGCAGCTGGCCTTGGGCCTCAGAATGCACGTCTTATCCGAAGTGAACAAATTGCTAGACACTCACTACGTTTTAAAAGAGCTCACAGATCTAGGCCACCAGGCCCCCTCCAGGCACAAAAGTCCACGGCATGAATCTCCATGAATGGTATAACATCCTGAAACCTGGAATCGCCTGGGCAATAATCCGGTATCAGAAAACAGCATCTGTTGTGTTGATCCCGCACATGCACGAAGAACTCTGTTGTAGGATTGTAGGACTACCTTTGTCATGTAGACCCGTTCAACTACCCAAGGGTCTGGCCGGAGGACAGGACTCGCGAGGCCTCGTTGGATGCTGCTTCAGCGGCCTGGCAAGGAGTATGCCGGGTCCGGGGCAAAAAGTCTCCAGACTTGAAAAATCAAGAAAACTTTTCGTTAAACTGCAGAATGCTTGGCCCTCCACTAACTACTTGTCCCGTCACACAGACGCTCACTTGCATGCGGCATGCACCCTTGCGCCCACACCCACGTCCACGTGCCTAGATTGTTGCGTGCTATTGGGTGGTTCGTCGACGGTCATCTAAAACACAATGTGGCACGGTACTGTTAAAAAACTGGCGTTCTGCGCGCATGCCAGCTATTCAAAAGTGGACGTGATGGGTGCAGACTTGCCTGCCCAGTCAGTAGGACAAAAAGATGGTGCCTTGGTGGCCTTGCTTACTTAGACCAGTCTACATGACGGTGGGCTGCAGGATTTGTTGTTCCTGGGACTTCAAACAATTTTCAGATAGGGTGCTTTCCTTAACCCGTTGCATTCGCAGACATGTTGCGGTCGCAGACTGCGTTGTGTTCCCTTCGATGAGCCCGTCGAAACTTCAGATTTGGAAAGGTGAGATGCACATTGAAGCGCGGCAGCCTGTTCAGCAATCTGACTGAGGATTCGAGCAGTAACTCGGTGGCAAACAGCGTAGGCAATCTGCATTCATGCAGGCTTCTCCGACCAGTTGGACCCAGAAAATCTAAGACTCTAAGACTGTGCGCTGAACAGGGGATGGCGGAGGCATATCGAAAGCTCCTCACATACCCAAACCACACCAGAGAGGGGCGCCTGATGACGTGCTAATTTGTCAATTCAAGCCAGCTTCGTGACGTCTGAGGCCAGCTGTGCAACATACCTAGGTTGCCTTGCAACGAGATTGAACCGCCAACCCTATCTATGTTGCATCCCCACGACTGTGGCAGTCCCAGATTTGCTGCATTCCATGTTGAGGCCACTATCACATTCGGATGTTCGTAGCGGATCTGGGACTGCAACGGTTCTGGAAATTCACCCTAAACCCTAAACCCTAAACCCTAAACCCCAAACCCCAAACCCTAAACCCCAAACCCTAAACCCTAAACCCTAAACCCTAAACCCTAAACCCTAAACCCTAGGATGGATGAAGCCCAGGAAGTCCAACTCCCACGATGATGTGCTGGAGGGTGTGGACATCGAATGTGTCGGTGTTGCAAGACCTTGTTTGCTGGAGCATGCTGAGCACGCCGATGTAGATGAATCCGAGAACAGTGCACCTCTAAACCCTACTGGACGTTCTGGAATTCGATAGACCGGGCTGGGCTGCTCGAAGGATGTGCCTGGCGAAGTCGTTGAGGACCCTGCTCGTACTGGTAAGTGGTCGTAGCAACCGGTCATGGTGATGAGCTTGCGTCAGGAAAGGCAAGACCCTGAAAACCCCAAGACACTCAGTCAGATACTCTGAGTCCCGTAGACTAGACCGTGCCTCGGCCAGTTGCTGCGGGGTGAAGATGCCCAGTCGCTCCCCAGCCTAACAGCACGATTTTTGCGGGTTTGATGTTCAGGGTTTTGGGGCTTAAGTAGGGCTTGGGGCTGAGACCATAGGGGGGTGTTGTCAGAAAGGCTGTTGGTGGGGTCAGTCGTGGTTGAGCGCAAGACATAAGAACAGGGGCCGAAGGCCCTCTCGAATCCTGCAGACGGCAGCTTGAAGCCGAATTCTTGGAACGGCCCTAAGGCCCTTGATTTGTAACAAGCTCGCACACAAAAGCCCGGATAAACCTCTCAATCCTCTCAGAGCAGAGAGCCGATTGCCGGCCTCAGTGGCGGCTTTGGCTGCGCGATCCATGACCTTTGAGGCATCGCGACCTTGGCCCACGAGGCTTCTTGGGGCTACGGAATGCTGCGAGAAGATGCTAAAGCACGGAAAGCCGAAACCTGCGCCCCCAAACATGGCGACCTGAGAGCAGCGAAGCCAACATTGCTAAGGCCGGAAACAACCCACTTCCAAACCCCCAAGAGGGCAAGTGCTACACACGCCTAGAGATCTGCGGGCGTTCTCTCATTAAGCCCCATGCCTGTGCCTGGTTGTTGTGCCGCCGCCCTGCCTGGCTAACAGAACCGACAGAGCTTGAGAAGTGGGGGATCCCAAAGCCCCCTGAGCCTTCTCAAGCTTTGTAGAGGCACGGATGCGCACAAACGAGCAGAAGAAACAAGACTAAGCCCCGGGGTGCCGGGAGCACATCAAAGGCATTGATGGACTCACAAATGGACTCTACAGACGAATCTAGAGACATCGCTAGAAGCCATGTTCTTGAGCTCTCGAAAACTACGCTGAAAAAGGTCTGCGGGGTTGTATTTTCCGTTTTCGGATGCTCTCGTGCCGGCCTGCCGCCCGTGCAAAGACTGGCACGACGACCTGACAACAACCAAACGTCTGGGTTCATAGCTTTGTGCAACTTGTGAAACCTTCAGATGCAGCTTCGAGACTAAACTCGAGATCTTTGCGAAGCCCTTGACTTCTCGTCCCATCGTTGAGCCGGACGACAAGCACCCAAAGTATTCGTTAATGCTACATGCGCCTGCCTGCGGCTGCGCACTCTCTTCCAGGTCTTCCTTCCGCGCCGCTGCCACTGCAGCCTTGAGGGCTCTCGGTTGGGGGCAGGGGAGATTGTTTGACGTATGGACAAATCATACGACAACACGACTTAGGGAGTGAACAGCATTTCGGCTCACTGTTGGGAAGCCGCTTTTTGGTATTTCAGCGACCCAGTCGGCACATCAATGCGTTTACTCTTAGAGTACTGTACTAGCTTTCTAGTCGATAAAGGCGCAAAGGCTCATAGGAAGCCAAGGCCTAACTTAGATGCGTCCGTAAGAAAACTGGCTGGCATTTGGAGGCTGGGGAACAATCGCGTGGTCGAGGGCTCTAAGCTGACGCGCTGACGCCCCATTACCTCACAGAATTCAGGACATCTGGTAACTTTAGCGTTGGGATGGGTTGGAAGTGCCAACAGTGGACTTGGCGTGCCCGCGGCTGAGGGGTCAGCATGAGTCAGCCATCAGCGGCCGTCACAAGCCCAGCAAAGGACCACAGGTGTTCCGATGAGGATGGCATGATGTGAGGCGACCTTTCGGTCCGAAGCTGCCCACCATTCACCCTCATCTCTTGTGCCTGGAGCATCGAGTGGGTGGAGTGGGCGACTCATCGGATGTGCGGCGTGGGTGGGTAAGCCGCCGGTAAGCCTGTAGCCCAAAAAAGGGGAAAGAGACTTGTGCAAGCTACTTCGCTGCAGCGGCAGCAGCAAGCACCGGGGTACCGCGCGATGGCATTCGAGACACCAGTGATGGTAAAAGAAAGAAGCCCTGAAGTCTTCGGGAGTTCCTGCACAGTTAGAACTGGGGTGGCATCTAAGTTGAACTGTACACGCACGCAAGATTTCAGTTGAAGGACATGATTGTATAATACCTACTTGCAGTCTATGGCTCGTGATAGAAGTACATTGTTTCGGCGTTTCAATTTCTATGGAGGCCTGGCGAGGCAGCAGCTTCTGGCTTAGAAACAGAAGACCTGATTAACTTGGTGGTGTAGGGTTTAGGGTTTAAGGTTCAGGGTTCAGGGTTTAGGGTTTAGGGTTTAGGGTTTGGTATACCGTCACAACAAAGACCTTCGGACATGCTGATTTATGGGCATAGATGCGAGATCCAATAAGATCTGTCCCCAGCCTACTGCCTCTCAAACTCCCTCCCTCTCTCTCAACCCCGCAGTGGGTTACCCTAAACCCTAAACCCTAAACCCTAAACCCTAAACCCTAAACCCTAAACCCTAAACCCTAAACCCTAAACCCTAACCCTAAACCCTAAACCCTCAAATCCCCATGGGATGGTTGGCCATGGCTGGCCTGGCCCGACTGCAGTGCCACCTGCTCGGGCGTGGCGCCTGAAGCAATGGCAGCGCTGGCAGCCTGAGGGAGAGCAACACATGTTCTGGGGATGTATGGATAGGGTTTAGGGTTGAGGGTTTAGGGTTTAGGGTTTAGGGTTTAGGGTTTAGGGTTAGGGTTTCGGGTTTCAGGGTTTCAGGGTTTCAGGGTTTCAGGGTTTCAGGGTTTCAGGGTTTCAGGGTTTCAGGGTTTCAGGGTTCAGGGTTTCAGGGTTCAGGGTTTCAGGGTTTCAGGGTTTCAGGGTTTCAGGGTTTCAGGGTTTCAGGGTTTCAAGGTTTCAGGGTTTCAGGGTTTCAGGGTTCTGACGCCCCATCACTGTTTGGAAGGCTTAGGGGCAGGCTAAGCTGGCACAGTTCTGAAGGTTCATGTTCATGTGGATGCGTGATCAAATCTGGATGTTTTAGAGGCTAAGCGGCTAGATGAGGGGGGCGGTTGGGGGGGTGGGGTGTTGGAGGGGGGCGTGTTGGAGGGGGGCTGTTGGGGGGGGGTTGGGGGTGGGGGGGGGATTCCAGAAATCAATATGCCTGCCTCAGGCCGTTCCCGAGACACGCAAGCGGCTTCATTAGGGCCATTTCGGCTGCTTGAGTGACCGGAAAAGGTGGCTTAGGGTTTAGGGTTTAGGGTTTAGGGTTCGCAAAATCTCTGGCAAGGCACTGCGTTTCCTGCAGCGGTGACGGCCACTTCGGCAACCTGGGGTGGGGAGAGCCCCGATGTCCTGCTCAGGCACTTCATAAGGCGGTTTAGGGTGGGTATTGGGGTCCAGGGTTCGGTTTTAGGTGTCTGGTTCAGGCTTTAGGAAGTTTCGGGCTCTGGGGTCGAGGATCCAGAGAGCTTAGGGTTTAGGGTTTAGGGTATAGGGTTTACGGTTTCGGGTTGGTTTTTAGGGGAGACCATAGACCATGCGCGGGGGGGGGGGATACCTGGAGGGGGGGGGGGGGGGGGCGCGAGAACGCACAGCGCACAACCATATATATATATATATGATTCAGCCCCGCCGGGCCCCCCCCCCCTCCCCCCTACCCCCCCCCCCCCCGCAATGGTACCCCCCCCCCCCTGTGGTGTGGTTGGGGGTTGGTTTTAGGGTTTTAGGGTTTAGGTTTTAGGGTTTAGGGTTTTAGGGTTTTAGGGTTTTAGGGTTTAGGGTTTAGGGTTTAGGTTTAGGTTTTAGGGTTTAGGGTTTAGGGTTTAGGGTTTAGGGTTTTGCCCCGCGGATGGGGTACTAAGATGATCCCCCCCCCCCCTGCGGTGTGGTTGGGGGTTGGTTTTAGGGTTAGGGTTTAGGGTTCAGGGTTTTAGGGTTTAGGGTTTAAGGTTTAAGACTTAAGGTTTAGGGTTTAGGGTTAGGGTTAGGTTTTAGGGTTTAGGGTTTAGGGTTTAGGGTTTAGGGTTAGGGTTTAGGGTTTAGGACCGTAGAGTAGACTTGGGGGGGGGGGGGGATACCATGGGGGGGGGGGCCCAGGACGCTCGACGCTGAACCATATATTATAGATATATAGATATATAGATAGATAGATATACACATTTATTCGTTTCTTTTTTTCTTTTGCTCTTTTTACGTAATCCGAGCACCTGTTTAATTGGGGCCCCCCCCCCCCCCCCCCCGCAATAAGGAAGGCAGGGTTCCGCAATAATTGGACCATGGCCCTGCATTGATTTTCAATAAAAAAAATGGGCTGCAGATCCCTGAGGTGCTGTAGCTTCGCATCTCCGCAAGCAAAACAAGAAGCCTGCCGACAGATTCTTGAACCCCCAAAAAATTTCTTTAAATGTGGGGGGTTATCCCCATACGAAATCCACCCTATTGGAAAGTAGTCTTCCGGCGGGCTTCCGGCCGAAAAAAATTTCTTTAAATGTGGGGGGTTTGATTAAACAGGTGCTCGGATTATATTCTGTACGACAATGGCCTGGCCTGCGGCCAAAAGGCTTACCCACACAAGGCTTACATGAGCAAGCACAAGACACAAGGTTCGCTGGCTATGGGTGGCACTTTACCGGCTTTCTAAGGGCTTACGGGTAGTTGCTCTGCAGGAGAGTTTTGAGGCCAGGGTGAGCGACCAAGACTTCTCAACCACGTCACAGCCAAAGTCCTTGAATAGCCGAACAGCCCTCCGTCTAAACCCTAAACCCTAAACCCTAAACCCTAAACCCACAGTCTTGGCAGCAGATGAAGCCGCGCTTGCAGCCACCTCCCCAGCCTCACAGGTCGTATTGGGAAGGCCAGACCCAGCATGCTTCCAAACTCTGGCTGAAAAAGGGGGCCTAGGGTTTAGGGTTTAGGGTTTAGGGTTTAGGGCCTTCACAACTAGAATAGGGTTTTGGGGTGATTATAGTGTACTAAAGGGACTATGAGGGAACACGATTAGTAATTATTCCGACGCATGCGTTCGCCCGGTGCTTGCGGACGGACTGCTGTGCCAGTCACAACAACCGCCCAACGCGGTCAAGCCCAATCCCAAACTTTTGAGACCCAACAACGACAGTCAACAGGATTTCATGAGTTAAACATGGCCCCCCAATCACCTTTTGCCATCGCAGCTGCCAGCCCAGTCCTCCCCCCCACCCTCCCCCCACCCTCCGCGATGTGGCTGTTTCCGACGAGTGATACAAGTACCATGGCTATCACTGACGCGACTAGGGACCAGCAATCACTTGGGGCTGGAGTGATTTACGGCCATGACCCATGCATCGGGTGTTGGAACCCTAGTGTCAGGATGGCTCTGATCTTGATTCGCCCCCGAACCTTGAAGCAGAAAAAGGCTCCTTGACATTTGAGAGTGGATGTTGCTGCATAAAACCGACTTGGGATCAGTTGTCCGATTGTCCATCGGCAGGAGCTCATCAGACCCTTGCTAGAACTCTAGCTCGGTTCAAACCAACTGAGTGCGGAGTGTGATGCACCTGCTCGGGATCGTCACCAGACTCTGCAGCTGCCTCAGGACAGGCACGGCTTAGGTTGAGGATATAAGGTTGGTCTGGCCCTTTCTATTTTAAGGGTTTTGGCTGGCCACTGCAGCAGGCAGTCAGATGTTCGAGCAACATCGTGAAATGTTCCCTAGCCTGGCCCATGACACGGCCGGCCACGGTCGCAGCCGCACGCCCTGCCTTCGAACACCGCTCGGGCAAACTTCTGGAGTTTGGACCGGAGTACGATTCTCACAACGAGAATGGCAGGCTGATTTATGTGTAGGTCTTCGTATGCGAGGACAACAAACACATAAACATACAAACGCCCTCTCGACATCAATTCGACGAGTTCAAGTGTACGTCTTGTGTGCAAGGTTGGCAAAACTCTACCACATGAGTCACCGAGATCTGTTGTCAACCCGAAAACACCAAAAAAGTAACACAATTGAAGGCCAAGGTCAAAAATGAGCGAGGATTTCCAAACCCTACTGGTATCTACCAGCTGCCTCGCGAGCGAAGGGGATTCACTGAACTCTGCACTTTAGAAGATGTCGTAACGGAACTCCCATCTGGCGGGGTCTTCATGGAGTCTGGCTCGATTCACGGAGTGAAATGCGGCCGCAGATCCCTATATGAAACCCTAAACCCTAATCCCTAAACCCTAAGCCCTAAACCCTAAACCCTAAACCCCAAACCCTAAACCCTAAACCCTATGCCACCCCAATCGGCCCTGAGAATGTAGCAGTCCCAGGCCTCCATGAAAATGCCGTGCGCCTTCTCCACAGCCTGCGGGCTTCTCTTGGCAGCAAGCTCATCAGCTTGTGGACTTAGGGTTTAGGGTTTTGGGTTTAGGGTTTAGGGCTTAGGGTTTAAGGTTGGACAAACCTTTCGGACTCCTTTCAGCTTAACTCTCTGACATTACAGCTTGCCTAGCTAGTGCTAATGTTTCAATGTGATGAGATCCCCTGGGGCCGGTGCGAAGAGGGCAGGCTTGGTTGTCAGTAACAAGGGGCCTCCAGGGAAGGAGGGTCTTTAAGAGAGCCTAGAAGGCTTTGAAAAGAATCCAAAAGCAGGAGGAGGGCCTGGGAGATATAGCCCAGGGGCAAGTACGCCAATTCCATGTTGTTGTGGTTGTATATATATATATATATATATCAGTGTTGCATGGGTGCAACTTTCCGATGTGTCATACGCTATTTCATGCCTAGTCTGTACGTTTATCTACCACTCCAGAAGCACATCCTGCACCCATCATCCGACATCCGAAGCCCCCACCCACACGCAACCCTCCAAGGAAAAAATCTGAGGCTCCGGCGTCCATGAAGCTCCGGAAACTAATGGGATTGTTCGGGTCCACACCCATCTCTTCGAACACCTGAAGGGTGCATGGCATGGGCAAAGGAAATGAGGATCATAAAAGTTTCGACTCAGCCTTCACATCTCCTCTTGTGTCAGAACCTACGAGAGAGATGCCCTAATTTGACAAACTTGGAGAACCTCCTCTCAACCCCTGCCCCCCCCCCCCCAACACCCCAGGCCCCGGGTCTTCCCCCAAAGCCTGCCGCAGAGTGTCCTGCAAGCTGTCATAGTTGTCAGTGTGGTTATAGTGTTGGACCAGGCAATCTACCATCTATACCGATGAGGTCTTGCAACTTGATCCCTTCCTACCCCCGAACCCTGAGACCTCAACCTCGAGTCCTTTCAGCCTTCTTGAGCGCCCCAATACCTGCATTTTTCCCTGCAGGGCTCGCAAGAAGGTGAGCTTTTAGGTGTGGGGGTCCCTTCTCGGAGCACTTCGGCTTTCGGGCAATCAGAACCGGGTCTTCGGGACTCTGGAGGAATGAAGGGTCATGTTGAACTGCGTCGAGTATCGTTGGAGAAGGGTGCGGACTCGTGTTGATCTTGGGGTCCTGAGACGGTTTTGTTGGGGTCGCGAGAGTTGGATGTGCAGATCAAGGCGGCTCTTGGCACAAGTCCTCATGGATGTCGATGTTCGAGCGGCTGAAGATATCCTTGAGCTCACTGAGGCTCACCTTGATCTTTGCGTGTCGATTTTCCAAGAAGAGTCCAAACAAGCACCGACACCGCCACAAAGAAAAACGGCCAGAAAAAGGGTAGAAACTATCAAGGAGTGTATATGTAAGTACTCATACACACTCATCACACCCGGAAGCCCCTGACCCGGAAGCCTCCGCAGTCCCCCTTCTCGAAGAAATTGACATCCCAGACTGCTACCCTCATTAGCTTCCTTAACCCGGCAGCAGAGCCTTCCTCCGCCCAGGCTCTGCACGATAAAACCGTCACTCCTAAGCCACAAAAAATTGCCCCCTCGCCGAGTCCGAGCCCTGGAACACCTTGAGCTTGAAACCCACGAGTCACGTCGGCAGGACACCCCCTACCCTAAGCAGTTGCCCGATCTTGGGGCGGGGGGTGCCTTCAGTTTTCGATTCCAGTCAGGATGGAGGCTTGGGGCATTTGGGACGCGTGACTGGTCAACATGAAGCGGGGGAGCCGGCCAAATCGTGGACGTTTCGTGACCTTGAAAAAGCCCGGTGGCTACAAGCTTGACCTCGATGCTGTAATCTTCGGAAAGCCCAAAAGCAAAAACTGATCCTCCGATCCTCTGAACCATCTGTCGGCTGGGCTCAGCTCTCTGTTGTGGTACTGGCAAGCTATACATTATGCGAGGGTTAGGTAAAATTTAAGTTACGGGGGGAAGTTGGGAGGTTCGGGCTGCGGGCTGTGCGACGGTGTGGCTCAAGCAGGCAATTCAGAATTTCAGGCGGATGGGGTGAAGCTTTGTACAGTGCACGAAAGAAACTTCGTGGTGCTTGCACCAAAGTCAGAACATTTGGAGAAATCTACCCCGTGGTAACGACTGCTTTTTTGTTTCGGGCAAACGTCCAGGCGCAGAAGACCTTCAGAAGTACAATCAAGAGGTGCAAGCCATGCTTTGTGAAGAACAGGGACATGTTTAAACGCAAATGACACACGACTTTGCAAGACAAGACGAGGGAGTTCTCTCTCTCTCTCTCTCTCTCTCTCTTCTTTCGGCTGGGGGACCGGGTGCTGAGACCAAAAACCCGTGGATCCCTGGATCACTCGACAAACCCAAGCCCAACACACTGCCCGAAACCTTAACGCTCATGTCCCGACACCTGCCCGTCGGCATGTATGGGGATCGCCGGGTAGCCTGCACCTCGCATCGGACCTCCTATAATGCAGTTTGTCTCGAAGGGCACCCCTTCACTTCGACTGTTGACAGAAGCCCTGAAAGGCCTCATCGCCTCTCTAAACACATTGGCGACGAGGTGCTGCGTCCTTGCCCTCAACAGCATCCTGCCCGCAGAAACGTGTTTGGGAATGCCGAGGACATGCAGGTTACACATGGAGCTTCGGCTTTCTGATAAAAAAGAGCGAGACAACTCAGTTTTCAAACCAAGTGACCGCACATTTCTGGGCAGCTGTTAACGATACGACTACTGTCTATACAAACAATTAGCGTGAAAGCACAACTGGAATGCCTATGTGCTACCATCATCCGGACTGGTGTCACTAAGGCGCCCAAAAACCACATAAACATAAGGATCCTACTACTAGGGCATAAGGCCCCTATATAAGGGGAATTCCGAAAAGCCCATGTTTATGTGGTCTTTTTGGGCCCCCTATAGTCACACTGCTCAATGGACTCCAACATCCGAAGTCCGCTAGCAGTCTGAGCAGTAACATTGCACCCTTGTTGGAGCCCCATAACCTTAACAACAATCATCTTTTTTAATATCCTCTTGGGTGTTATATAAACAAAAAACAAAAAAAACTCCCAAGGGGGATATAGAAAAGAGACAAGCTTGCCAGCGTAGACAGGTGCTGGTGCCTTTACAATTGCTGGGCCCCCCTCTCCAGGGGGGGGTCCCGAGGGGGGGTTGCCACCTCTTGTTGTCAGGAGGGGCGTGGGGACTGTCCAAAGTCTGAATACTAGCAAATACAGGAGCAAATCCAACTATCCAACTGCTAAGGGGGCGGGGGGCCACGCGGCCAAAGAGGGTGCAACTTTATACTCTTCATGTATGTCATAACCCGTCATAACTTGCGAACACTATTGGTGCTGGAGTGGTTCCCGCACCCCTGGGGCCTTCAAAGCTGAGACGAGCTGTGTGTTGAGTTGCCGTGTCACCTGCAGATTCGCATCTATAGGAGTCGGGGTCCGGGGTTCTTCGTTGAAGTTACACAGTTCAGTTCAAAGGGGTTAGGAGGTTGGAGTCCCTCCACGCTACAGGCTGATGCGGGCTTCATATCCTTGGGGGGGGAGGGGGGGGGCTCGAGGTGTGTTGGCGAGGGTGCAGGGTCAAAGACGGCTGTCTTGGAATATCCTGACTTCTTGCACTTTGCATGTTCCCAAGCAGGGCCAGTGTGGCGGGCCCATACTCACCTTGCTCTGGTTCCTAGAAGCTTTGCGAATTTGCGTGGGCCTGGAGCATTGTCTGTACAGCTCGGTTTCAGCTGACGTTGGGGAAGGACGCTTGGCAATTTCAACATGCAGCTACTTTACACCTAAGCCTAAGTCCTGACAAACCACCAACCGACCAGCAGCAGCTCAGATGCCAGGGTGAAACTATCGTCCGTTCGCCTCGAATCCATTCCTCGATTAAAAACCACCTTAGGGATTGAGGGCTTGCTTTACGGTTCCTGAAAAGAGTCGGGCAAGTACCTAGCCTCGGCAACGATCAGGTAGGGGTGCCCTGCATTGATGGCTGCGCGGCTGGCAGACCTGCTCGAAAATCGGCCGAAACCCCTCTTCTCAGAGAATGAAACTGGGTGTCTGGACAGCATCTAAACCCTAAACCCTAAACCCTAAACCCTAAACCCTAAACCCTAAACCCTAAACCCTAAACCCTAAACCCTAAACCCTCAACACCACACCAATGGTTCAAGTGATCAGATGGCTGCACACGGACTGCTAGGATGCTACAGGGTTCAGGGTTTAAGGTGTAGGGTTTAGGGTATGCTTCAGGTGCACGGTTCAAGACCCCCAATCACTTTACAGGACAATACTCGGGGACCAAATGAACCCCCAAAAGGGCTTTATGGCTTCCTATGCCAACATAGGATTCATCGTAGTAGAGGGTATATGACCCCAGCTTTAGTGTTCATTTGGTCCCCAAGCATCACAAAACTCAAGCTGAAACCATGTCTCCGCTGTGAACCAGTGTGTGAGCGACTTCCCGAAGCCTTTGAGTCGTTCGGAAGGGTTCGGCATCTTCGGTGTCAAGAGTTAAGCAAGGATCCCAGAACCAAGGGGCGGAGGCTGAAAGACTGGACATGAAACTCGGCGGATGGCCCTAAAAAAAACCCTCTGAAAAGCATTCCTGGAGATGATCCCCTTAAAGCCAATAAGGGAGAATAGGAAGGGTCCCAGGGGCCTACCGAGAAAAGGAGAGCGAAAAAGTTGTCTAAACCCTAAACCCTAAACCCTAAACCCTAAACCCTAAACCCTAAACCCTAAACCCTAAACCCTAAACCCTAAACCTAAAGGGTGCCTCGCTGCAGCGGTCGCTGTGGCTTCCACTGCCTGCCACATGCACACATTAAAAGGGTTTATGGTTCATATGCCTTAGTCTGATTTATAGTAGTATAGGGTAACGTGACCCAGTTTTCGGGTTCATTTGGACATAAAGAGGCACACAGAGAGACACACTCACACCGTGCCCTGCCCAGGATTTGGTTATCGAAACACTTAAAAGCTACGGGAAGCCTCACCTCAGCAAGTCATGACATGAGATAGCCATAGACGTAAAGCTTGTGACTTTCGTAGGAACAGCGCATAGGGCTTCGAAGACACAACGAAGATGCCCCAACTGTGAGGTGGCACGAAGATGCACCTGTACCTGTGCCTAGCTGTGACTGCAAAGATATGCTCGTGAAACCATTCCCCATGAGCTTCACAGCCGCGACCTAGAATTCGGTATGCTCTACGTACAAGTGTGTGAGATTGCAGGCGGACGGAGAGTATACATTAGGTCTCATGCCTCTGATCCTAGTTCATCAACCAGAGGAGAGTTCTGAACCTCATACAACCTCACTGCGATTGCTTGACTTGGACCGTTTGTTGCTTCGGAGTTTTTCATACAACAACCGGTACAAATAATCCCCTCCTGGACTCTCCAGGAGCCCCTGACTCCAATACCCTCTATACGTCCTTGACGGAATGTTCAGCAGAAGTTGCAACTATAAAACTTGGATCACACCAAAACTGTACATACTGCCCATATGGCTTTGAGCTGACCTCTGTTCCCCTACTCTGGAGCAGACCCTGGAAAAAATATATACATATATATATATACATATATATATATATATATACATATATATATATACATATATCTTTTTAGGTATAAGTAGCTATAACAGGAACCCAGGAACCCAAAAATGTATTAAAGTATAGTACTCCCCAAAGCCAAAAGCCAGTTTCCATTCAATGAGCCTGGTAGGGAGGCAGCCCCGAGGTCGCTGCGGCTTTAGTTGCAGCCTGCCAAGTCGGCTCAGGATGCTGCAGGCACCACCACAAGGCAATTAGGGTTTAGGGTTTAGGGTTTAGGGTCAAAACGGTTTAGGGTTTGGGGCTCATCTGGCAATCCCAAGGTGTATAGGGTTTAGGGTTTAAACGGTTTAGGGTTAGGGGTTACTCTGGCAATCCTACAACCCCCGTGCTAAGCAACAATCAAATGCTCGTGCGCCGTGCCACATCCATCCAAGAAGAGAGGTCTGCCTTTCAATCCAGACGTGAACCAGAGAAAACCGAGTACGCCGACCCTGCGCGTCATACTCAAACCACTGCATAATGGCCACTGCATTCAATCAAGGGCCATTCTGCCACAAGCCATAGGAATAGAAGGCATTTTAGTGAGCACCTTCTGGGGCCTCTCGGGACTCCCTAGAGTCTCAAGACCTCACTTCGAGACTTTGTCGGAGTTCAGCTTCTGAACTCCTTCGCACTAAGGGCCCCAACCCGCCCCAACCCCCACAAACTTTGCACACCTTGGCGGCAATCTCGGCACTCTTCATGGCCGTGTTGCCGGCATCTGCTGCCATTTCACCTTGTTTTTTGGCGTCTTAAGATTCATGGTCGTCGAGCTTTGGAGGGGGCCTCGGATCGTGGGAAGGGGATCTTACAAGGGGGGGAGTCGAGATCGGGATCTCGAAAAAATTGTCTAGTTTACAGGCCTTGGCAGGCTAAGCCAGAGGATGTAGGTCGCCTCAAAGCTCCCAAAGAGGGACAGAGATTCAGATGGCTTCAAAGAGCAAATGGGGGGGTTACGATATTAGGGGTACCTTATTGGGCCAAGGGGTCCTTAATTATAAGGGGATCCTACTATTTTGGGGTTTATGTTAGGGGTCCCCAATTTTCGGAAACCCCCAAAAAAGGGCGCCAAATTCACAAACGCGCTGAAGCCAACTGCAAGTCCTCAACTCTCGACAGGCCTTCACATAGAAGAGACAATGCAAACCTAAGCGTCCATTATAAGGCCAATCTTGGACATAAGGGGGGGCGGATGGAGGTCTCCTAAACCCTAAACCCTAAACCCTAAATCCTAAATCCTAAATCCTAAACCCTAAACCCTAAACCCTAAACCCTAAACCTAAACCCTAAACCCTAAACTTCCTAACCTCAAGCCGCGTTCCTCGAAACGGTGCCGGGCCTGCCGCGATGCCTGCGGCTTTGGCGCTGACCTTCTGAAGCCATGCGGAAGAACAACGAAGAAACCGTATGCTCTAGGGTGGTCCCCCCCTCTACTAATAGTCCTTATAATAAGCATTATAGTAGCCCCCATTTCAATCCCCATTAAGAACTGCTTGTATAAGGGGGAACATCCAAGCATTCGCTGCAGGGCTTTCGGCCCTGGGGCTTGAGATTTAAGAGGACTGAGAAGAGGCTCAAACCCTGCAGGAGGGTGTTTAGCGTCGAGGGTAGCACCCCTGCCAGCCAGAGCATTTGTGACATGTGCAGCAAGTCGACGTGCATTGAGGAGCACGTAAACAGAGCACAAACACACTCACAGATTCAGGCATTATTATTCTCTGTGCGTGAAGAGATACGAGTATAAAGAAACAGACGGGTAGACATAAGAAGCGGAGGCTAGTCCAATAGGCGGACAGTCTGAACCAACAAACTTTGCCCTTCACCGGTGGCCCAACAGCATCGACCCTGGAGTTTTATTGGTTCGGAGTAACATCTAATTTTGGGGCCTTAATAATGAGACTAGGGTTTTGGGGAGGCTACTATAGCAGAGTTATACAGGGACCTTATAGGGGGGATACGATTTGTAACTATTCCGACGCCTATATTAACTCCCCCCCCCGACCCCCCAGTTCTTCTCCGCTCCCCTCCCCCCATGCCCTTCGACACCTGCCTCCGCCACATGCTGTGGCGTACTGCCAGCCTCCTCAGCTGCAGCGCACGCCGCGATGGTGGCCTGTTTAGGGTTTGGGGTTTGGGGTTTATAGGGTTATGGGTAATAGACCCATTTTTGGCCAGCACAGGCTCGGAAGGAAGGAAGGAAGGTTTAGGGTATAGGGGAAAGGTGCCTTTGGGAAAACGTTTGCGGTTTGGTATGCGCCTTCCTGTGATTGGCAGCATTGGACGAGCAAGCCCCCTGACAGCCCGAAAGCTTGAATCCTCCCCTGCTAATTTGGGTTTGGGGTTTGGGGTTTAGGGTTTAGGGCTTAGGGTTTAGGGTTGGTTAAGGGTTCGCCGGAAGGACCCCAGAGGAAAACCGGCCACAAGCTCGGCGAAGCAAGCTCCACCTGTCCGTTTCGTTTGTCCCTGAATGACAGCTGCAAAAGCCTCAAGTCCTTATGTTCTGCAAGACATCCTGATACGACAAAAACCCATGCAAAGACTGCAATGGCCCAAACTGCCAAAAAGCTTCGTGTGAGCGATTTGGCATCCGAACTTTCCAGTCCCAGACTGCAACTCGCACCTACGGCTAGACACTACCCCATTCACTCCTGCCAAAGAAAGCTTTAGGGAACCGCCTTAAACCCTGAGTTCAAAAAACACGCCTCTTCTGCGACCTGATCCAGCGTCAGCCCGGCATCGATGGCCACACGCGTGGCAAACGTCCCAGCGGCCTCCGCAGCCGCGTCAGCCGCCTGCATTTGGCGCAGCGGCACTTTTTCGTGAGATGGGTGGAGGGTCAAGGTTTTGTCCCCACCTGTCCAGAGCTTGAGTGTTAAGCCTGATGATGCATACGTAGAGGGCGCCATCAAGATCTACAAACGAATAAGAAAGCTTACGGACCTCCACGTGGTACTTCAGTGAACCCCCCCCTGAATCAAGCGATCCGGGTTCACCAAAACATAAACCCTAAACCCTAAACCCTAAACCCTAAACCCTAAACCCTAAACCCTAAACCCTAAACCCTAAACCCTAAACCCTAAACCCTAAACCCTAAACCCTAAACCCTAAACCCTAAACCCTAAACCCTAGCCTGCACTCGGTCAGCCGTGTCTGAGACCAGTTTGCCCGCAGCTCGACCGCCCAATGCCGCGGCATCCTTGCATCTGGAGTGTAGGGCTTCCAGGGTCCAAACTTCGTTTGGTTTAGGGCAGGGTTTATAGGGTTCAGGGTTTAGGGTTCAGGGTTTAGGTTTAGGGTTTAGGGGTGAAAACAAGAACAACTTGTTCTTGTTTGCTTTCACTGGGCACCTCCGAGCCCTGGACAAATCTTCAACTCCGACCGCGGATCCAGACGATCGGATTTTCAAAACTCTGAACCCTGAACCCTAAACCCTATCAGCCCTATAAGCCCTAAACCCTATAAACCCTAAACCCAAACCCTAAAACCAGCACAGCTACAGAAACTCGTGCATCGTTCGACTACACATTTCAGGTGCGGATCGCGGAGCCGTATTATAGTAGCACCCCCGCCCGGCCCGCTGCCCCATAAACAGACCTTATACAATAAACACGCTACTTCCGCGCCCGCTTGTGTTTGGGACTCCGCGCAAAGCAGCTCCGGGGAGGCTGGAAGCCAAGTCAGCAGCTCAGCATGTGTTCACTGACAGCGCAACTTCTTTCTTTTGGTTAGCAGGGAATGGCGGAATGAGGGCCCTATCTATCTATCTATATATATATATATATACACGCATGCCCTTTAAGGTTTGTATAGGGTACCTCATTCCCCCGTTCCCTACAAACCAACAGCAAGAGTTTCATCCTGAAGTCGCGAGACAAGTGCACATGTGGGCCGACCAAAAACACAGGCAGAGCAACAACACAACGGTTTCGTCAGAAATGAGTTTGTGCCCGTCGTGCTGAAATCTGTCCCAAGACTTTGTATGCGTTGCACACTCTTCAGTATTGCCCTAAACCCTAAACCCGACACCCTAAACCCTAAACCCTAAACCCTAAACCAAGTGACGGCAGGGACCAGGCCAAAGTCTGAGGCCGCCTTGGATGCCGCCGTGGCCGCAAAGTCTGCGGCCTCTCGGATGCCATGGCCTCCAGCATCGAAGGCAGCTAGGGTTTAGGGTTTAGGGTTTAGGGTTTAAGGGTTTAAGGGTTTAAGGGTTTAAGGGTTTAAGGGTTTAAGGGTTTAAGGGTTTAAGGGTTTAAGGGTTTAAGGGTTTAAGGGTTTAAGGGTTTAAGGGTTTAAGGGTTTAGGGTTTTGGGTCTAGGGTTTGGGGTTTAGGGTTTAGGGCTTACTGTCCCAATAGGTCCGTGCACCCATATGGTAGATACTTGAGGGGTTCTTAAGGGCCCTAGTATATACTGCGTAGGTACATGGACTCTTAGGGATTAACACAGGGCACAAAATTCAGGGAAAGGGTCCTTCTTCTCAGGGGCTCAACGAAGATTTGAGTGCTGCGCCTCTTAACTTGCTCTAAACCCGAAAGGTCCGAAAGCGCGCAGGGCTTTGGGGCTCTATATAGAGGCTTCATGGGACCAGGCTAAACAGGAATTGGGGCACAAGCTTCCACAGAAAGCTGTTAAAGTTCATGCGTGGGAGGTGTCCAACCCTGAGTTGCAACTTTAAGGGTGCGAGTGTATAACCACGGTTTAGGGTTTAGGGTTTAGGGTTCAGGGTTTAGGGTCTAGGGTGTAGGGTTTAAGGTTTAGGGTTTAGGGTTTAGGGTTTAGGGGGAGTGTGGTGGCTTTTCTTCGCATCAGCATCAAAAAGCATGCCCCATGTGTTCCAAAATAACTTTACAGCTACGTTGGCGACTCAGAGGCTTTCAGGTGCACTCCGCTGGAGTTGTCGGTTGTAGAACCGAAGCTGGCTCTTCGGGAGCGTCCCGGGCAGCCAATGCGATGATCAAAGCCTAAACCCTAAACCCTAAACCCTAAACCCTAAACCCCAAACCCTAAACCCTAAACCCTAAACCACGAACCCTAAACCCTAAACCCCCCCAAAAAAACAGAGCTGTCCTGCATTGAGGGCTGCATTGCCGATGGTCGTGCCGGCAGCCAGGGCAGCTGCGATCCCCGCTTGTCGACACTCCTATATTCGGTTTAGGGTTTAGGGTTTAGGGTTTAGGGTTTAGGGTTTAGGGTTTAGGGTTTAGGGTTTAGGGATTGGGGATCTGCTGGGCTTCGGGGCCTGACGGGGCGGGGCTTAGTGCCTTGGTTCGGGGCTCCGATGTAACACATGCGTGGGTCCACGCAAGGGCATGCGGGAAGATGACATGATAGTGGCCCGATCCTGGCCCTACTCTGCCCTGAGTCCTCATTAAGCTTCATGGAATAATGGTACTACTCGTCTTTCTGATGTACGACTACTCATGTGCATGCCGAAGGAGGTATCGGGATCGATCATACTTGGAGTCACTAGTTGTGATTGTCGCTCGTCCGAACGAGCATGTCTTCTCGAAGTAGTAACTTCAACAAAAGGGGGTGGTCACTGCGGAAAAGACTTTCAGACTGTGTGTCAGGAGCTGAGACCCCTGAGATGGTGCTTGCGATTTCGTCTTTGAGCAGCAGGTTGATACAAGGCTTGGTTGGCCAACCTCTGTGCGGGTTAGGGCTTTAGGTTTAGGGTTTAGGGTTTAGGGCTTAGGGTTTAGGGTTTAGGGTTTAGGGTTTAGGGTTTAGGGTTTAGGGTTTAGGGTTTAGGGTTTAGGGTTTAGGGTTTAGGGTTTAGGGCTTAGGGCTTAGGGCTTATAAGGGTTTAGGGTTTAGGGTTTAGATTTAGGGTTTAAGGTTTAGGGTTTAGGGTTTAGGCATGATTCGCCAACCTCTGTGCGCAGTGAAGGAGGTGAATGTTGGAAGGTCTTCTGGTGGGTCTTAACAGCTTAATGAGAGGTTTCAACTGACAAGCCAAAGTGCATGCTACTGACGCCAGTATGCTCATCACAGCCTACTTACGAATGGAACTGCAGAGTGCGATGATGGACAAAAGGCTATACAGGCTCGACTCTGAGGCCCTCGGCCCATGCTATTCTGGTGGTCTTGGGCGGATTTCAATGTGCTCGCTGTGTAATGGCATTCTTTTGTTAAGACCAATTCACGTTTTGTCTTGCAGGTTCCGGCCATGTAGTTGTAATTTTTGGGGGAAGGAATGCGCTACATGATTTGGGACAACCTTGATTTGCGAGGTAGCTGTTGTCATGAGGTAGCTATCAGCTATCATGTCATACAACTACATGGGAGCCTAGGAGGAAGCCAACGCCGCACGCACCGGCAACACTTCCAACTGAGATGGAAAAGCAAGCGGCTCTGATATTGAGGGTGTGTGTGTGCGTGCGCGAGCGAGTGCGTGCGTGTGTCTGTCCCTGTGTGGCTGTTAGGTTGGAGGAAGCCCTGAAACCAGTCCTCTTCGGCCCTCTCAAGTGAATCTACGAACTCGGAATAGCCTCGGGGCGGTCTTGGCTTTTGGAAAGTTCGAAAGTAGGCTTCAGGGGCTTGTTAGTTTAGGCTTGACCTGTTGAAGCGCAGCGTAAAAACGGTGTTCAAGGAACCCTAAGCTCAGGGTTGCGGTTGCACAATATTACAGGCTTCAAGTCTCAAAAATCATCAGGGAATGTGTAGCTAGGGATGCAGCAGCCTTTCTTGTTGGAAATTAAACTTCAGAGGGCCACTAGGCTCTAAAGATGCCTAAATGCCGAAAGCACACCTTGACTCAAACATTGAGCTTGCCCTGCCTGCCTCTGTCCCCCGGTTCGCCTGGCCATCCCTGGTATTATTTACAACACTTTTCGTCAGCTTCCCCTGGCGGGATTGCACTGTGGTTACATAGAGCTAGGTGTCGTCCATGAACTTGCCCGCTATCGCAAAGCTCTATAAGAGAAGGATTGCCATGGCATCACGTATGACACTGAATGACCAACTTGTTGCCAGTGTAGCCTCGACCCCTAGAATTCCCCTACCTTGGGGACGAAATGAACCTTTAAAGGGTTTATGGTTCATATACCTTAATAGGAATTATAGTATTAATGGGTATATGACCCCAAATTTTAGGGTTCATTTGGTCCCCAAGGTAGAAGGGCTCGAGAGCACTCTTGACAAGCTGCAGATGCGGCCCGATTGATCGCGATCCAGTTCCTGAAACACCTGCGTTGGCTCTGAAGGTGAAGCAACTGTGTGGCTTAGGGTTCCCTAAACCCTAAACCCTAAACCCTAAACCCTAAACCCTAAACCCTGAGGGTTTTGGGTTTAGGGTTTCTCGAGTTCAGGGCTTCGGATTTGAGCTGGGTTCCGAGGTTTCGGACACACAACCAGCCCCCCTGGTCTGGCAAACAAGAGGCCTCCCTGCCTGCATGCACACACACACACACTAAGCTTCTCCTTTCTGAGCACAATAGGGCTTGCGTCGTTCATGACACTGCTTCATCCTTGTACCTGATGTTATCTGAACTCAATAGCTCTAAGCCCTGAAAGAATTCCGGGCTTGTGCCTAAGCGCTCTGGAGTGTATGTTGCTTTTTCCACTGGTGGAGGTGAGACTCCTGACGCCAAGTGAGACTTCGCAGAGGTGAGGTCTGTGCAGCATGAGCAGGAATGTATGGATATGCATGGATCGGGCTTCATTCCAAGCATAGCTCACACATATATCAGATTTGAAGTTCAGTGGAGAAAAAAAGCACACGCCTCCTCTTCGTGTGGCAACCTCAGACCCACGCACGTGGGCCCGCCTCCTTCTTTCTGTGCTAAAGCAGTGTGTTCTGCAAAGCACCTAGCAAACCAGGGTTCTCCCTTTGATGCATTTCCTTCGTTTAGGGTTTAGGGTTTAGGGTTTTTAGGGTTTAGGGTTTTTAGGGTTTAGGGTTTAGGGCTTAGGGTTTTAAAGTTTCAAATGCTGCAGCTGCTACATCAAACAACACAGCAGACTACTGTTCTAGCCGTTGACTCGGCGCTGTATCCGCCTAGGAGGGCCCGTGCACACGGCGGGTTGCATATGGTATCTGCATGGTGCCGAAGGACTGCTTTTCAAGGCATGTGATTTGCACCATTGGCAGCTGTCGCATTTTCAATTGGCTGAATTCAATATGAGGCAAGGGACACGCTCTTCGAGCGGCCCACCCCTGTGGAAACGTGGCGCCAGCATCAGCCGACCACCTGAAACTGTTGTCTCATCCATGACTCTAGCTCGTCGTCTCGGAGAAGCGTCTGCTTGTTCGCAACTGCTTCATAATTCTTCGAGTTGCGCTGAACCAGCCTCGGTTGCGTGTGCACTTTCAAAAGGTAACCCGTACTGTTCCCCAGGTATCATATGTGTGTTCAGTACAAGACTAAGACCACCATAAACCCTAAACCCTAAACCCTAAACCCTAAACCCTAAACCCTAAACCCTAAACCCTAAACCCTAAACCCTAAACCCTAAACCCTAAAGAAGCACACCCAAGTGGCATGGCTGCTTGCCCGCGCTTCGCAGCTGCATGCACCGGAGTCTTCATCTTCGGGTCAGCGGCATACTCGTCGGCCGCCATGGTCCGATTCAGACGCCGGTGGCACTTGCGAACCTCTTCCAGCCTGAGCTTCCGGGCGCGTGGCGGAATTTCGGATTCCGGGCTTGCAGTGGGGCCTCTCGTGTCTCAAAATTTGCAAGGGGTTGTGGACATCCTTTTCACAAAAGCATTCCTTCACTGTAGCCATCATCAGCCCCCTTATCATGGGAAGAGTTTTGCCCCTCCCGCATGAAGCCTTAGCCACCCAAATAGCTGCAAAGGCCTTGAAACTCACAAAACCCTAAACCCTAAACCCTAAGCCCCAAGCCCTAAACCCTAACCCTCAACCCAACCATCTCCAAGGAACACTTCCGAGCGAGCCGCACCGAATCGACCGGGAATCGCCTGGTCCTGGGCTGACGGCCATGTCATATTCTTCTTGGATGCTATAGCTTATGCCCTTACACTATATTAAGAACCCGAAAAATTAATAATGCTTATTCAGGGTAATATAGGGATTTTTGTTTTTCATTCTTTTTTAAGCAAATAGTAGTATATTGGTTTTATGACGATTGGTTGTCTAGGCATGCAACAGCTCCGTGAAGGCACAAATCTAAGCCTGGACCTCTGAAGCCTGAAAACCCATTAAACCCTAAACCCTAAACCCTAACCCCTCAACCCTAAACGCTCATTCCGAGGGTCCTGAGTGCGCCTCGCAACCGCGCAGAAGTTCTCAAAGACCGAATGCCGGATGGGCTGGAGAGAGCCCTTCATCTTGATCTTCTTCCTGAGCACAGTGCTGCTAAGGAAAGTCTGCAAGCATGCTGAACATCCTGTAACTGGGATGGATGGCCCTAAACCCTAGACCCTAAACCCCAAACCCTAAACCCTAAACCCTAAATAGGGACGGCTTCCAGCTTCCCGACGATATTGGGCAATTCCGAAAGGAGGAGCTCTCCTTCCCTGTAAGACCGCAAGAACCCGAAGGGCACTCTGAATTGGTAGGGTTTAGGGTTTTAGGGTTTAGGGTTTAGGGTATAGAGGTTAGGGTTTAGGGTGTGTTCAACGATGGTCAAAGGGTTGCAGAAGTGGGGCCTCGGCTTGGACTAGCCAGTGCGACGTGATTTCTGGTAACTTCTGTTTCAGGAAACTGGTTCCGGGATCTCTTCAGAGCTCCTTGACCGACCCTGCTCCCGACACCCTAGCCCGTCAGCCCCAGCAATCTGAACTTTAAGTAAAGTTGCAAAGGTTTCTCTCCCCTTCATTGCCTGAACAAACGCAAGTAAAGCACTCGAAGCAAGCCAAGAGACAAGTCGCCTGAAAGCCCGAGACTATTCTGCCGATTGCGAACCACTGTATCATGCACACACACAGAGCCCCCTAAACCCTAAACCCTAAACCCTAAACCCTAAACCCTAAACCCTAAACCCTAAACCCTAAACCCTAAACCCTAATCCGTCCTATTTCTCGGCCGAGGCGCTGCTTGTCCAGGATGCGCGCCTGCTTGGACTTCAGCGTCGACGCGGCGTTCCTGCGCCAGGAAGGAGGGAGAATGGCCCTAAACCCTAAACCCCAAACCCTAAACCCTAAACCCTAAAACCTAAACCCCCTAAACTCTAAACCCCCTAAACCCCCTAGACCCTAAACCCTAAACCCCAAACCCTAAACCCTAAACCATGGGTAGGCCTTCCTTACAGCCTCAAGCAGCTACAGCAGCTCAAGCAGCAGCTTGAGACTTTGGAGATGGGGTCGGACATGGGGTCCATATCACTATTAATTGCTTAAGAACCCCACCCCCCCCCCCCTCAAAAAACAAGTCTTCCTTGTAAGGGCAATATAGGGATTATTAGTTTTCTTTAGGGATTATTAGTTTTCTTTATGAAAAAGATTCTTCCTTATAAGGGTAATATGAGGATTATCAGCTTTTTTGTATCAAAGAGATTCTTCCTTATAAGGGTAGTATAGGGATTATTAGTTTTTGTTTCTTTTGGGTTTATTAAGCAAATGGTAGATCAAGACCTCTTTAGGCTTAGGAGACCCTGACCCGTGCAAAGGTACATGAACCCTCTCGCAGCTGAATTTCTCGAATGACACTCCAGGCCCCAGGAATGTCTGTTACAGCTACTGTAGACGAGCGTCCTTCGAAGATCGACGTTTCGATCCCGGTGTTTGCTGAGATTGATGCGGCACCTGAGCTCTTAGGGGACTTACAGTTTAGGGTTTATGGGGTTATCAGTGGTCCTATAAGGGGGGGTATAAGGGGGCAGGGGCTCGAACTGCAGATGACCCTCCTTGCGCCCGCCGCTGGCGAAGCTGCTGCTTGACATGACGGCTTCTGACACGCATAGTGCTGATCGGCAGTACCGAGCAGCGCAAGGCAGAATGAGCAAAGACAGCACCCGCTTCATCAACAGAATTCAGGATCCATAATAGCACGAAGCGACTTGTCAATCAAGAATTTGGATTCACTGACAACGACAGCCTTTCACCAAAACCGCTGAGCATGTAGGCCTGAGTTAGGATTGGGGATGTTCCCCCCTTATGCTAACAGTCCTTAATCGGGATTAGAGTACCCCCTGTGATTATCATTCTTAAGGAGCTGTCAGTACAAGGGAACCCTAACCCTAAACCCTAAACCCTAAACCCTGAACCCTGAACCCTAAACCCTAAACCCTAAACCCTAAACCCTAAACCCTAAACCCTAAGTTAGTATAAGGGGGAACATCCCAAATTAGGATGAACTCCCACTTCAAGTCCCGGCACTTGCCCACCAAAGAGGCAGCTCGGGCCCAGTATTCCTTAGCTTGGTTTAGGGTTTAGGGTTTAGGGTTTAGGGTTTAGGGTTTAGGGTTTAGGGTTTAGGGTTTAGGGTTTAGGGTTTAGGGTTTAGGGTTTAGGGTTTAGGGTTTAGGGTTTGGGGTTTGGGGTTTGGGGTTTGGGGTTTAGGGTTTAGGGTTTAAGGTTTAGGGTTTAGGGATAATTTTCTCGGGTCAGGATCCCGCAGTTTTGCCAGCTCTAGTGGCTGCCAAATGAATTGAGTGCCCAACGGCTCACGTCAAGCCTGCAAGCTGGGCACCTTGCAGAAAAATCTCTCTGCCGACAAGCCCTACATGCCTGAAATCCTGCTACCACACGTGGAACAAACACGTGAATTAAAGGGGCCTAATTTACATTGGTTTGCAAGGATCCGAATGCTTAGGTGTTAAGTCCCTTTAGTATAGTGAGTATAGTGAGGGCGCCCCTCCGTGTAGTTCAAAGGACCCCAACGAGGATTGAATGACGCAGTCCGCAGACAGGTATTCAACACCCTAAACCCTAAACCTCAACCCTAAACCCTAAACCCTGTAAAACAAGCTGAAACCCAAATGCCAGGCTCGCTTTCGCTGAGCTCGCTTCTCCTTCGGTTGAGGCCGTTCAGCTCTGCCTTTGCAGGGGCTCCCCACCCACTCCACCCAAACTGGCCCGAACGCCACCTAACCGTCCCCAATGCGACAAACCAAAGGGCGAAGCCACAATTTCTTCTTGTTCTTAACCGTGACCATTTCTTACCATTTCTGTTCTTAACCATGACCGATGCCGTTTTATGAACTCATTGTCCGTCGGCTCGAGCAGATGCCGCATGACACAAGCCATAGTCATATTGTGACTGTACCAAACCTGGCACTGGAAACGTTCTGGCTTGACTACTTCCTGCATCCCGGAAACTGCACGCCCGACGTGCTAAGCAATCAGACCCTGAGCAACCTCAAACCTTTCGTGTTTGCTCCCCAGTGACTGTTTCTTGCTGGGCTATGTTTGCTCCCCAGCGACTGTTTCTTGCTGGGCTAGTCTAGTCAAAATTGGTAGACCCTGGCAATCTTGGTTCTTAATTCCTGCGGACAAAGTATTGATATGTTTACATAAAGAAAATACATAATAAATAAATAAATACATAAACCAATAAATAAACAGAAAATAAAAATATATATATATATATATATATACATACATACATGTAAATCCCATGTTTGTTTTCATGCCTGGCCAGGAAATAAGATTGGCTTCCATGGGTCCCTTGTGCAATCTTAGTTCCTTGTTCCCTCGGCCTACAACATTCATCTATGTGTATGTACATATACATTTAGGGTTTAGGGTTTAGGGTTTAGGGTTTGGGGTTTGGGGTTTGGGGTTTGGGGTTTGAGGTTTGGAGCGTTCTAATTAGAGGTTTCCGCCTGGCTCTTCTTCAGCAACTCGCGGCCGAATCTGTCCAGAGCCACCCGTACCAAAAGTCCGCGTGCCTTCGGAGGTGACAGATAAGGAGACACTTCCTTGGGGACGACATGGGTTTATGGTTCATATACCTTAATAGGAATCAGAGCAGTCATGGGTATATGACCCCAATTTTAGAGTTCGTTTGGTCCCCAGGGCTTGAGGCAACTTGTTCAAGGCTTCAGGGTCTTGAAAGGTCTGGGCTCAGCTGGAGCCATCTCGGGGCTCTGAGGTTGGGATGTTCACCCCCTTATACATACTGTCCTCATCGGGATTCTAGTAGCCCCGGAAAATACAAACTGTCCCAAAGACCTACCTAGTCTCCATTGCCCGGATGTTTACATGCGGGAGGGGCTTAGTGGCCTAGTGACAGAGGAGGGACGCACGACCTTCTTGACTCGAACCACTCGGCCCGTTGTGTGCACATGTGCAATAAGGCTGGATCGGACAAACAGACTGGCTAAGATGACTGGCGCTGATGCGAAGAACATGCATGTTGGACGCCTTACGGTACGATCTCAACAAGTAATTAAAGGAACATCTAACCTGCAAACAGGTCGCACGTTTAGGTTGACGGACTCAATTGAAACTCTGCTTAGGCTGTAGCCCGCGTCTGAACAACGAAAAACAATGAGGGCGAGGCATATCGCTGAATGTCAATGGCCGAAGCGTGAAGCCTTCACAGCATCGGGGACACTTGCTGGGCAGCAGAATCCACAGCGCAAGGACCAAGGCCCATGCAAGAACAAAAAACCGACCATTCACAGGTCCTGAACGGAATCCTTCACAACCCTCACAAATCAGTCGCACCCTTTACAAATGTGAGCAGACTCGACCACTTCGGGATCAAGCAAGGCGCAGTTTTCGGAGCTTGCGTTTTGATGATCTGCACTGTCGGGGACATGGTGCTCAACTGCATTCTGAAGGTAAACCCTAAGCCCTAAACCCTAAACCCTATACCCCAAACCCTAAACCCTAAACCCTAAACCCTAAACCCTAAACCCTAAACCCGAAACCCTAAACCCTAAACCCTAAACCCTGGTGGGCCCAAAGCCACTGCCACCCGCAGGCCTTCGAATCCACAGCCGGATCAGCGCTCCTTGCCACACGCGCTGCATGCGCAGCGTGGCCTGCTGAGGGTTTAGGGTTTAGGGTTTAGGGTTTAGGGTTTAGGGTTGAGGGTTTGGGGTTTAGGGTTTAGGGTTTAGGGTTGAGGCTTGAGGGTTTGGGGCTTAGGGAACTTGATGCGTAGCATGGGTGCGGCTATTGGTGCAGGTAGTATAATTGTAGGGCTTCGGGTTCAGCAGCCCAACCCCCACACCCGCACACACAGCCCCTTCCCCCTTTTTCATCATCCCAAACCCACGCCAAACCACACCGAAGGGTGCGGGATCAAGACGAATTAACGTTTAGGGTTTACTTTGATAGTCCCCACACCAAACCTAAGCAATGTGGGAGCCATGCTGCCGCTTTTTTTGGACAGGTAGGGATACTTCGGGATACTCTGCGGGATTGGACACTGAATGCGGGATTCTGTGGGAGTGGGGTATTTGCCGGGACTTTTGCAGGACTCTCTTCTTTTCGCTGTGGGGTTGCGGTTTGCGACAGTATTAATTGCTGCTTGTGAACCAGCGAGACAAGGACTACGAAAGTGGACTGCCCGTTGAACTATTTGCCAGCGTCAGATGAAACCTGGCCCGTGACCGAAACGTAACCACCACTTCACCTGCACGCCTGCGAATAGCAACTGTCGACCGGGCACGAAGTTCTCAAAGGCGCTGCACAGCGATCAGAACAAGCGATTCTAAACACCACATTCCACCAACAGCCACGACAAACCCCTCGAACTGGGAATGCCTCAGGTCAGAATGCCCAAACTCGGCCTCTAAGAACTTCGCCGCGCGCTGGTTCCAACGCTTGGCCCGGTAGGTGTGCTGGATTTTTTCCACCGCCATCTCCATTCCTGGGGTTGGGGTATGTATGATGTAGGATACTGCAGGTCTGTTTTTCGCTTAGGGATGCGGCAGTGAAGATTCTCCGACATTTAGAAGTTCGACTAACTACTAGTTGGGGCTCTATATTAGGGGCCCCTGATTTTTTGGCCCCATGATAGAGTAGGCCTGGAAACGCTTGCAAAACCCTCGATGCCGAAATCAAAACAAACGAAGCGCCCAAGGGTCGTGCAATTTGCAGCCCGGCCCGAAGGCCGCGCCAGAAGCGTTGAATGCAGATGGCCGGCGCCACGGCGTTCAACGACTTCTTTTTCTTCTTGAGGTATCTATACCTGTTCTCGGCAGGGATTGGGGCCTGCAAATGTGCAACCTTGGACCTGAGTCGGACAACGCTCCTTTAAATGCTTCTAAGCTTCCCTGGAGCCTTTTGAGTGCAATCGCTACATCTGATGGGGCAAGTCTTGAGAACTCTTGCATTGGAATTGTACGAACAAGGAACCTCCGAAACGTTGAGACGCTGCTCTGACCCTGAGAAAGAATCCCTCGGGTGTTGCAATCGGGCCTTCTCAGGGGATGCGCATTTGCAAGATTTTGCCTCGAACCACTATCCCAAAGCAGCGGCTCGGCGGCCTCTTCTGCAGGCTGATTGCCGCGCGGTGGTACAGGAGCCGCAGTGATAGCGCCCGAATGATCATGTGAAACCTTGTCATCCAGGATGGGCTTAAAAGGCCTCAAAATCCCCAGAAATGAACCCTCTAAAGGGCCCTTTAAGGGATTGTAGGGAATGAACCCCTATAAAGAGCCTTTTAAGGGATTGTAGGGTGTCATAGCCCATCATTGGATTCCGGGGTGCTGGCAGGTTAGCCTTTAGAACTGCGGACCACATCCGGGAAGGAAAGGCTGGGGTTTAGGGGGCTTTGCTCTGCTTCTGAGGCTGGGCATGAGATTTACGACATACCCTAGGTACTTACTCAGAGTATTACATGCTAGAGGCGCGTGTGCCGCGTTGTCCCTGACTGCGTTTTTGCTACCATTTTCAAGTACTTCTTGATTCAAGACTCTTGCGAAGCTTTGTATTTGAGACTCCAGTCAAGATGTGTGAATGACCCCGGGCTCATCCGGATCCGGAGTATGGAATTTACCAAAATGGGCTATTGGGCCCTATAATCCCCATAATCAACCCTATAAAGGGGCTTTTAAGGGGTTATAGGGTATAATAGCCCTAAACCCTAAACCCTAAACCCCGTCCTGGTTAGCACAGACCTTCTAGCCGAACCGGTCAGGAACCCTAAACCCTAAACCCTAAACCCTAAACCAGGAGACAGGACGACAGCCAGCACGAAGGAACAGTGGTCATGAGGCGCGCGGTCGGCCATGTCCTCAGATGTGACGCTCCGCTTAAGGTGAGTCGGATTGCAGGTTTAGGGTTTAGGGTTTAGGGTTTAGGGTTTAGGTTTAGGATTTAGGGTCAGGTACCTCACCTTGGGGACCAGATGAACCCTAAGATTGGGGTCATGTACCCTATGCTACCTATATATATATATATATATATCACATTAAGGCATATGAACCTGATTCATTTGGTCCCCAAGGCATGGCCAAGATCGGTCATCAAAGGGCTTGACTTGGAACGAATTCGGGAGGCTGTGGTCTGTTCCTCCTTTCGCGCCTTTTGGCTTCATTCCCAGTTCATGTGTGCCAACCACATCCAACCACTGTTCAAGGTTTACGGCATGATTCGGATCAGAGTCTTCCATCCATTGGCCCTCGGCTAAAATCTCATGCCTTAAATGTCGCGGGCCTTCATTAATCAAAGCGAGGGTCAAACAAACGATCCGTCATCAGCACGAAACGCCCTTGGCGGACGCCCTCGCCCACCTTCGTGGTGTCTTCGTCCTGTCACTTGTCGGTGTTTCAAATGGATGCTAGGGTTTGGGGCACTGGGGACACGAGGCTCCTCGCGGGCGCCCGAAACTCTGTGCCAAGCTGTGAAGGCCATGCTCTTGCGGATCTATGAGACTTCTATAAGTCTAGAAAGATGTATACAGGCTTTTGAAACATCACCGCACCGTGGCTGAAACACGCAACGGCAGTGAATGGCAGGAACTGAAGCGAGCTCTGTGACATGTGGAGTGAGGCCGCGAGATGCGAATATCAACATGAACATCGGGACAAGCAGGGTTGCACGGTGTTGGTAGAACGAAACCACTATGGCGGCGTGTGGTTCGCTCTTGAGTAAAACCCAAGTGTGGACATCAAATCAAAAATGCAGTTTTCGAGACCTTTTGCGGGCCCGGTGTGGAAGCACGCGGTTCCTTAAAGGAAGTCTCCTGCAAGCCCATCACCGAGTCCATGATCTTGTGTTGATCCCGCATGAGGTACCCAACTTGCTGGATGACCCGCATGACCTGGGCTCACTCGGTCTGGAGTTTGCAAAGCACAGGCAGTGTTCGGAGTACTTGGGGCTCATGGGTGAGGTGTTACCGACAGAAGGCAGGTCTTCAGGACAGGAGTGTTTTGACACTCTTCCACGTAACATGCGGCTAAAATTGTTGTACGCCACAAGCTGGCAAAAGGAGAGATCCTGCACCACACTTGACTACAATCTCGACCCCGCGCACGGAAATACAGGTGTGCGGCCAAAGGCTTGGACACTAGGGACAAAGAACTCATGCCTGGGGCTAGAGAATGCCATGTCTGTTCAAGTGCTAACATGCATAGCTCTCCTGTTTCGATATTCAAGCCCGAGCCAGCAATCCAACTGTATCTACTTTTCGTTCCAGGCCACGGCAGCTCGGTTGAAAGTGCTCAGAACGTTCGGCTCGACCTGTTCACCACGTTTCCGCCCAGCACTCGCAACATGATGCTTGTGCGTTCTGGGCTTGTTTGTCTCGATCTAGGGGGATTAGCATCCCGCAACGGTGCAGCAGGTTTAGAGCTCAGGACGAAGAACGACGGTAGAGGGGTCCTGTTTGGGGAGCCATGACACCAAATTCACAGGGGTCTTTGGAGTTTCTGGATGTGGGCGATGCAAGGGCATCATACTCAACCGGAACAACTCCTGTCGCTGGGCGCACGCGACCGGAACCCAAAATCCTAACTCCGTCAGGGCCACTCTGAACTCGAGAAGCTTCAGAAGCTAATTGACTTCAAGGTCAGTTCTACAAGGAATCCAAGAAGGACCAGATTTTAGAGAAACCACCACATGGTTCCATGGTTCATAGGACTTGGAGACTGAGGTCTTTACCCTTAGCCTACTAAGCCCTAACCCCTAAACCCGAATAAGGCACTTTCTTGAGCTTGCCCCCGCCTCATTCTTGCCCTTGCCTTCGATCTGCTTGATCCCCTTGGCGTCCTCACCAGACTTGTTCAGGGTTTAGGGTTTAGGGCTTGGGGGCGTGAGTGGGGTTTAGGGTTTCTAGGGTTCTAGGGTTCTAGGGTTCTAGGGTTCTAGGGTTCTAGGGTTCTAGGGTTCTAGGGTTCTAGGGTTAGGGTTTAGGGTTTAGGGTTTAGGGTTTAGGGTTTAGGGTTTAGGGTTTAGGGTTTAGGGTTTAGGGTTTAGGGTTTAGGGTTTAGGGTTTAGGGTTTAGGGTTTAGGGCGCCTCAAGGGCGGCACTTGGGGCGCCTTCCGGAGGCCAGGCAGCTTTGAATCTACGAGAAATCTACGAGAGGGGTCGGAATAATTACTAATCTTAGTTGCCCAGTAACCATTAAGGGCACCCTTTTTTTGGTTGGCTACTTTATAAGGGAACCCAGAACCCAAAAAAGGGTAAAGGGTACCACTGGGCTACCAAGCAATAGTATTCCACTTGTGGCCCCTTCATAATTATACTAAAAATAAGAGCGAATAGTATTCCCTTATGGCCCATTCATAACTATACTATCATACCCCCCCCCAAAAAAAAATCCATTCGAATCATGAAGCCCTCTATCTTACCCATTCACCATCCCCATGTAGGCCCGCCAAGCCCGTGAAGCAAAGAGGCCACGCCAGGACATCCACATGCCAGAACCATCACATAGGAATCTAAGCCCTCTAGTCCTGCTTAACTCCAAAACACCGCCTAACTTCTTAACAGTCTGCCTTCAACCCAAAACCTGGTTCTCGCTCATATCCTGCTGTCCCGTGATGCCCGGCACTTGCCCGGGGCAACGCTGCTCCCTACAACGTCCTAGCACCTAAACCCTAAACCCTAAACGCCCTAAACCCTAAATAAACCCTAAACCCTTAACCAGGCCTTTGCGGGCGTGGTCAGCGTGGTCTTGTTGCTCTTGCTTCGGCCAGGCTCCTCCTGCACAGCTTCAGTTTCTTGAGGGCCTAAGAGGCTATTGGGCTTACCTGTTGAAGGGCACATGGCACAGGAACATGCTACAATACAAGTTTGAGAATCACCCCCCCCCCCCCCCCCAGAAAAAAAATATTTATATATAATAAAATATAATAAATGAGTTGATAAAGGCGGGCACAGGGAGCTACAAGTACAATAGGCATGGCCTGAAGAGCTTAGGCCTTTGGAGCTTCTCGGTTTTTCGGTGGCTTCTCCTATCCTTTGGAACTGCTTCCCAACGGCGCTTCAACACTTGAGCTCTCAAGGTTTAGGGTTTAGGGTTTGGCGCTGGCCTTCTTCACCTCCATGATGTGGGAGCCAAGCCTGCCAAGACGTGATCAGGCGATCTCCCTGATCTTTACCTGGCACCCTCTTTACCTACAGTACCTCCAGGTTTACGGGTTTAGGGTATGGGTCATACATGGTCATACCTACTAGTTGAGGGTAATCACTACGGAACTGTAGGTCCTACTAATTGAGGGTGAGCACTACTGAACTGTAAGTAAATAGAGGCCCAGGTACAGACTCTCGGTAGACTTCTGGCCAGGAAGACTTGCGGGGTTACGGATTCGGCACTTTGCTTCCCTTCGGCCCATCAAACGGCAAGCGGCTGTTGTGCCAGCGCAGCCACCGTCCCGTGCTGGTTGGGCCAGTCTAACGGCAAGCGGTGCTCCAGCTCAGCAGCCAGCACCTCGACGGTCAATCTGGCTCGAACTCTCGGGATCAGATTTGGGGGTTTACGAAAATAGGGGATCCCTAAGATAAACCCCCCAAATCGTGGGACTCCCCTCAGAATCAGGACCCCAAGAATAAGGTACCCCGAATTTCGGAAGCCCCCCCAATTTATTCCCTCTTTTTTTAGTAACACCCAGGCCTCCATGAGCTGAGCTCCAGCGGAGGCGTCGAGGCCCTGGAACCTCGTCTTGCTTCGAAGTTGCAAGGATGCTTCGATTTACCATATTTTACCATATTTTACTGGTTGTTTTCCTTGTTGTTTTCCTTTGAATAGCTTCAATGCTTCCTGCACTTCTCTCCATGCCCGATGCGCGCACAGGACAGCTTCAATGCTTGTACCTTCAACTACAAACATCACATTCTCAAAGCCTGCCACAGTGGGCGTCTGCGTTAATATAGGGTCGGGGCGTTTAAAGTATCAATGGACCTCCAACACGTTCGCAGATCAAACTTCGTGCGCACGAGTAGCTTGAGGTGGTCATCCGTCGAAATGGCCGGTGAATCCATGGCCTGCCTGGGAAGGTATGGACTTCGGCTTTATACTTGAAACTACACCGAAGACCATTGAAGACCCCAAACAAGACGAGACAAACCAGAAAGGGAGTCATGCAGGGTGCCACAGTGGAAGACTGGGTTGGCAGAGGATGCTCCCCTTTTGGCCCCTAACGACCGGTCCCCACACCCTGAGGCAGCGTGGCGCCCGCCAACATGAGTCAATTCTGTTGATGAGCAAAAGCTCATCCCTGCACTCCAAACACACACTCCACAAGCATCCACAAACCTTGCCTCATTGTGACCAGAACCTCTGCAGTCAAGAAGACGTGCCGATGATGGGACGGCATTCCTGCAGAGTGGGCCGAGGGCGAAGGGGGTGCTGCTATGCAGTTGTCCGAATTCAACAGCTACACATGTGGACGGGATCATGAACCATTTGGAAATGAACAAACCGCAAGCTTAAACGGTTAAACCCTGCTCTTTTTTAGCTTCTTGAGCTCCACAAGGCTCCTAAACCCTAAACCCTAAACCCTAAACCCTAACCCCTAAATGTTGCGTAATTCGCTTCGGCCTCGGCCAAAACGCGTCAGAGGGCCCCTATGTTTCTCTTCGTCGTCACTAGTGGTCCCGACTTCGACCTCTCAAAACAAGAACTATTCAGTTCTAAACCCTAAACCCTAAACCCTAAACCCTAAACCCTAAACCCTAAACCCTAATAAATAAACCCTAAACCCTAAACCCTCAACCCTAAACCCTAAACCCTAAACCCTAAACCCTAAACCCTAAACCCTAAACCCTAAACCGTGCCAGGTTTGGGCACTGCAAGGACTCTCTGGGGATACTCTGGAAAAGGAACTCTCTGGCGATACTCTGGGGATACTCTGGGGTTGGGACTTTCTGGCGATACTCCGGGGTTGGGCATTCCAGGGGACTCTCTGAAAATACTCTGGGGTGGGATGCAGGTGATGGGTCAGTCTAACAACCCCTCACTGGGGGAAAAAGCCTGTTTATACGGACCTAAACCCAAAACCCTAAACCCTAAACCCCCTAAACCCAAAACCCAAAACCCAAACCCTAAACTCTAAACCCTCCTAAACCCTAAACCCCAAACCCCAAACCCTAATTCCCTGAACAAACGCTGACCACTCGATGGCCCCCAGATGCCTGCCAAGGTCAGCATCGGCATGGCCTGCAAGCGAAAAAAAGCACATTATCACTTCTGGTCTGATTTAGGGTTTAGGGTTTAGGGTTTAGAGTTCAGGGTTCAGGGTTCAGGGTTTAGGGTTTAGGGTTTAGGGTTTAGGGTTGATCACTTCCTTGGGGACGAAATGAACCCTAAAAGGGTTTATGGTTCATATACCTTAATAGGAATTATTATTGTTACCAGCGGATAGCCCTGAACAATCATTTTCTTGAGCCACGGCGAACGGGTGAATACAGCTTGTGTCTTCCAGTAACTACACCCCCCGCGCAACTTAGTGCAACGGTAGAGGCGTTCTTTTCCGTTAGCTGGAAGAACACACAAAAGAATGTTCGCCTAAACTATACTCCACTGACCAGTAGTGAGTAGCTACCACCCGTCAGGGAGTTGAGAAACATCTACACTCTAAAGAAAGGTTAGTTACCGGCTTCTACTGCTCAGCAACCAACTCGTCAGAGTGGTGTCCATGTGCGAAGCTTGAGAAGATGATCCACGGTTGGTGCAGCAAATGCATCCAACTCTTCCGAGTGGAGGTCTTTCCTCAGTAACGGCGAGTGGTTTCACCTGTGAAAGGGTCGGTGACTTTGTGCTCCCAGCCGTTGAGGTACCAGATCACGTTCTCGTAATCATATACGACCACCCGATTGAGCTGCCCGAAGGATGGAATGCAGTTCACGACCTCCTCTTCCTGGATATAGTGCTGGTCGCGTGCATAAAGCATTGCCCAGTAATAAGCTTCAAGGCGGTTGAATCTGGGATGACGTGGCTCCCGCCCGTTGATCTCCTCACCATCGACGTCGTAGGGAAAGGTGATGCCAAGCGGTCTCTCGAGCAGCTGCGTAAGCTCATCCAGCCTGGTCTCAATCATTTGATTGACCCGTTCACGGCGCGCTCGAAGCCATTCTCCCTCCGTCTCGGTAGGGTTGGTTGGCTCAACGCGTCTGCGTGAGGCAGCGGGCTGATCTTGCTGGCTCGACTGACGTCTCGCAGCTGGAGGTCTTGGTGTGGCGGAGCGCAGTCTTGGCGGCGTTGCCTTGCTGGTTGGCTCTACATAGGAACCAGTCCTCCTCGGTGATCTTCCACGATTGGCACCATATGCCGATGATGATCGGGTCCTGTCACGAGTGGGGTCATTGGCTCCCTCCGAGTGCTGTCTTGCAGGGGACGCCGAAGCCCTTCCATAACGTCTTGATGAAGATGCCCTTGGACCATCCCTTCCGGGAGGAGGAGGTGCGCGCATGTAGCCTGCACTCCTCGCCCTCGAGGCTCTGACCCATTCCGGATCATAGGCAGTCCTGGCAAGACGTCTGTCGTAGAAGCGGGTATCGCGCAGGACTTCATTGAGTTGCGTCTGGCCCATAGAGGCAAACCCTTCCGGGATGCGAAGATTCCCTGACATGGTTACCTCAGTGGGTGCCGGATCATCGTAGGTCCCGGCGAAGCCAAGTTGGACTTTGAAGAATTCTGCCAACTGTGCTGCAAGCTCTGTGACCGAGGCTGGCTCCGGAGTGTAGATCTCGCCATCAAAACCTAGGATCGAAAAAGGAAACCTTTGGCCGAAGTACGTCTGCTGTGTGGCATAGATGAGCATGGCCGCCTCGTCAAGGATGTAAAGCCTGGAAGAGAACGCGATGAAAAACGCTCGGTTCAAGACGATCTCGGTGTCACCAGGCATCCAGGCGATGCTAAGGCGAGCGTCAGCATTGTGGCTCCCTGCAAACTCTTTGCGACCACGCGCATCCCCTCCGGGTGCGGGATTGTGAAGGCGCGTAAACAACTCAAGCTGGGCGAGACTTCCGATGTCAATGCCTTTTGACACGTAGTTGTACGCATCGAGGGGCTCGTCGAGAAGCTCCAGCAAGTGATCACCTCCACCCCGCTTTGCGAGACTCTTCTTCATGGCCAAACACTTTCCTCTGACTGCCGCCGGGAGACTGATGTCATCATCGTCACGACCCTGACGGACGCGATGTCGATTCATGGCCAACCCCTTCCGGGGGGCGATAGCGAGGAGATCAATCCCCGTTCCCCTTCGGCTGGCTTCATCGCGCGCCCTTTTGGTTTCTGTGACGTGTGCCATATCGCTCTCGGCAGAAATACGGACCGAACACCATGGGCAATTGATCATCCCGTCGACGAAGTCCCGATTGCATGAGCCGCATCTGAGAGTGGGAAAATCCACGAACTCTTGAATTACGTAATGCTCAAGCTTCGATCGGTATCTCACATCCGTCCTGCGCCCCAGCGCGGAGTACCACGTCTTCAGGCGGGAGCCCCATCGAGCGTTACCCACATATTGGGGCTTTGCCTCTGTGTGAAAGGTAACGTCGTCTGCGTTGATGGCCTCCCCGTTGACGGTGATATTTTCATCCTCCGCGATCTGAAAGGGGGAATGCATGTTGTTGCAGATGTGCTTGTACTCATCGAACGAGAGGTCTTCCGCCTCCGAGCAGAGGAAGTCAATGTAGCATCCCGGCATGGGGCTCTTGCTCTGCCACCTCCGGAGTACATGCTCCTCGTAAATTGGCCCTGGCTCCCGCCCGGCGAGGAAATCTTTCCTGGCCTTGTGTACTCTGACTCTCAACTGTTCGTACACGCGGTTGTGCCAGATTGGGGTCAACGACTTGCGCTCGTACGCATAAATGAGATACCTGTTGGACAACCAATCAGGAGTTTCCACAGCATCTGCTTTCGTACGAAGAATCCTGACCCCGTCCAAAGCAGCTAGTTGCAGGTCCACAACGAACTCAATCTCCGCGTTTTCGCGCACGCCCTGATGGTCCCTGCGTTCCCACGCGGGGATAGGGGACATCATGAGGAAATTCCGTGCGCCCTCAGCGGTCGCCCCGCACCCGCCTGGAATGAGGCCGTTCTCCACGATGGAGCCGAAAGAAGACCATTTGGTGCTGTGGTATCCAAGCGGCGGCATCTCCGTCCACATCTCCGATTTGATTCCCTCAGTTCCCACCGGGGGCCGATCCTTCAATGTCGGAAACCAGGATTCGGCTAAGTGGTAGACCGCTGCATGCGTGTCATTGAGGTCCGTCTCGTCAGAGAGGAGGGTTGCATTATGCCCCTGGATGGCTCGGATGGCGTGGAAGACGACGAGCTTGTTGAGACCAAAGTTCACCTTGATCTCGAAACGGAGCTTGTCGTTGTGTAGCAACGCGTCTACCACGTTTTCCACCCTCAGCCCCCTCCACATCTGGGATAGTTTCTCGAAGAACTCGTCCCATCTAAGGGAGTGATCCTCTGCCGCTTTCACATGGAGGTGCGGCGCGCGAATCTCCGCGAAGCCTCGCGTCAGGAAACTGATCTTCTTGCTGAGTGCTACGCGTGCGCCCGGCGTCAGCCAGCGGTAGTCGTCTGGCAAAGGCGGGAGCTGATCGGCCGTCATCCACCTCGGAAGCGCAGGCGGCTTTGGCTTAGCAGCCGGCGTAAATGGCTTCTGAATCGTGGCCTCACTCGTCAGAGGGGCGTCCATGATGACGACCTCATCCTCTGACTCCTCCATTGCGGCCGTGGGACCAGCCGGGGGCCGGACATCGGCCGAGGAAGCGGCTCCCTCGATCCTGCCCGGTTGGGCGACGTACGTCTCCCTTCCCTTGGCTTCCGCCGGGAGCTCTTCCGCCTCCACAAAGTCGTCGAGATTAACGACCTGTGCCTCAACGGCGGCCTGCTTGAGCTCCTCTTCGGTGGCGTCCTTCACGGCCTCGAAGGTGGCCTTGATGATGTCCTCTGTGATGACGTTGAGGAGTGCGGATTCGGCACCTTCCACGACGCAGCCGGCCCCAGGTCTCGTATCAAGGCGAGCAAAGTCCAAGTCAGAAATTTCTTCCTGAGCATTCGGGACCTCGGGAACCTGCATCATGCTCGGCTCTTCCATCTCCCCCAGGAGTGGGCCAGAAAGGACGATCTCCTCTTCAGCCTCCCTCGCCTGAGGTGGGTTTGGATCTTCGATCGGCTTGTGGATGAGCTGCGCCGACGCAGGTGGCACCGTCAAGAAGGGTTCCGCCTTCCCCATCAAAAAGTGGTTGTGAAACACCACATCCCTTTGGTTGGCGACCAACTGATCACGAACCTTCATAAGCTGATGATTGACAAAAACACCACGGAGCAGTGAACAATGCCATGGGACCATGACCTGTTTGTTCCTGTCCGACGCATCAGCGTGGAAGTCGTCAGGCTTGCTAGTATGGCCATACATTTCGATCGGATCGACAATGTTGATGCCAAGGGCAAGCATCGCGTCAGCGTGCTGTTCCATGCAGAGACCGTACTCAGGTCCTGTGGGAAACACTTCAGAATGATGGTCTCCTGTGAGAACGGTGATCCCACACACATCATGCCTCGCGAGGAGCAGCCTCAGATTGCGAACAGCCTTCTCCACGCGAAGCTGTTGCTTTGTCGGCCACTCATTCAGCGCCTCAAGCTCCTCCTTGGACCGGTTCGTGTACTTCGTGTTGAGGTGCCACGTGTATCCATGATATCCGTGGGACCCCCACACGTCGTTTCCGCTCCAGGAGATGATAACATGGGTCGCCACTCCGTCAGGATGGGGGTTCCGGCCAAGGAATGAATCTGCCTTGGCGTGCAGCTCATCGAGCTGTGCCCCCCAGACCATCTCGTAATGGATCGAGGTGAAGCGGCGGTCATGGCGAAGGGCCTCCTCGACGTAGATACCCACGTTTGTACGATGTGTGGGTGATCGCCCCTTGAACTGGCACAATGCGAGTGATGAATCGCCAACGACCAAAATTCTCAACCGCTCTTCCGAGGGGAGTGGGATCCTCTGTAGGGCAGGCGAGAAAAGCTTGCCCATGAGCTCAGAGGTCACATGGAAGCACGTGTACTTCGACGCTCCACGACTGAGAAGTTCAACCTTTCTGCAAATGTCATCATGCCTTGTCGCGTCCAGAACTCCTGCAGATCGTGGTCCCCATGCGATATTGGCGAGGTCCTGTGCATATCGGTAGAGCACATCGATCCAACCCCCCAGGGTAGAGTCCTGAAGAGCTGAGGTGTCTGCGTCTCCCTCTGCAAAAACCCGGACCCCATGATCCCTGTAGTATTGTTCATACAGGATCGTCCAGTGTGACGTGGGGTGCTCTGCACGCAATGCGCGCCACCGATACACAGGAACAATCCCAAGAAACAACTCATCGTCCGCAGCATCGGCATCTGGCTCGACCACAGCGTCAGCCAGGTCCCGATAGGAAGGCGGGAGCAACAGTCCAGCCATGGCGTCAGCCCGGCGATCGGGGTCCTGCAAGGCAAGCTTGAAGTCCTCGATGCGAGCCTTCCGCTCTTCCTGGGAAAGAGCAAGTGCCATTCCTTCGGACAATGGAATCGCGGGACACACAGGAGCGTAGGAATGATGAAGGGCTTGTGCCACCGCTGCGGTAGCTTTGCAATGTTCTTTGAATGCGCTGTGAATGGCTCTAGCAAGCGATTTGGGGTAATTCTCGGATTCTTTGAGGCACTTCGCATGCGAGTGATCACCAGTGCAAACTTTAGCGTGAATCTTCTTGTGTAATGTTTCAAGCGTAGTAGCAACGCACCATGGCTTTTTGACGGGATTATGACGTCTGTCTTTAAGTCCAAATCTACAACCGTCAAATTTAGCATAAACAAATGGATGAAGATCCAACCATTTTCGGATCTTACTCCAACCCCAATACTCACAGTCACGAGGCCATTCGACACAGTACTGAACACCAACCTGGTCCAACCCCTGCGAAAGATCCACAAATGAAGCCCACAACTTCCTAAAATCCTTGCGTGCTTCCAGAACGGTATCGCGGTTTTTAGGTATTTTCAGGTTGATTCTGGTCCAAGCACTGCCCCCCGTACACGGGAGACTGACCCATGTGAGAACCTGAGCGCCAGCCCTGTGATAGGATTTGGCAATTTTCAGGACTTCTTTACGAGTATCAGGAGAATTCAAATCCATGCTTTCTGTGATGCGGACGACCTTGCATTCGGGAAATTCCGAATGAGCAAGTTCCCCAATAATAGAATCTTGATTACAACAAACCTCAATGATAACCCTTTGAGCTTTCCCCTCGGGCCTGGAGGGTTCTCCCTGCTCGGCAGTCGCCGCGCCAGCGGGATGAGCCTTTGTGCGCTCAAGCTTCCGCTGAGAGATGCCCAACAATCGTAGAGCATTGCTCCACTTCTCAGTGCTTGTAAACGGCTTTGTCAATATATCCGCTGCTTGGAGCAATGTGTTGATGTATGCAAGATCGTAGTGCTTCCTACGAAATTGTTCCGCTATCCAACCTAAGTTGATTCTCTGCGTTTTATCAGCGTGGCGGAAAGCAGGTGACTTGCCAGACTCGAGTATCCGAATGGTAGCTTGGTTATCTTCAAGAACAACTGGTTGAATGGAGTGAGGAACAGACATGATCAAACCCATATCTTTGCTGGTCCTAGAGATACCAATCTCATCAACATCAACACCCCCCGAACTCCTAATTCCGGCGGTCTCCCTATGGAGGATAGCCTCCGCCTCCGCGTGGCGGCGATATTCGGCAGTTGACCTCCGGTATACCAAGACGCCAGCTTCGAAGTCGGTTGGGGGCAACGTCCTTTCATCCTCATCAAGTTCTTCCCATGCAACGGCCTTCTGGTGAATTTCCCATTTCCCTTTCCGGAGCAACCAAAGATCCCTTATAGGATGGCTAGAGAGCTCAACGGGATTAGGTAGGGATTGCATCTTATTGAATACCTCAACCTGCCTTCCGTCAGAAAGGAGATACTTACCAGTTTTGGTGATCTTCGACATTTCTGGGAAGGGGTGAGTCTTAGAGTTGAAATCACCTTTAGGTACGTCGCTTTTTAGTGCTTTCAGGGCTGCATCTCCCCCCGCGTTCAGGAGTACGCTCCAAAGTGCGGATGAAGGAAGTCCCAGTGCCCTGAGAGACACGTTTGCACATACAACTTCAGCTTCAGTAGAGCTGAGCGCCGTGCTTGTTTGCTTCTTACTGAAGGCAGATAACGGAAAATAGGTATTAGGGCCTACAAGTGCGAGGAAGCCGCCTGAGGTGCTTTTGTTGTCGTGCTCTCCAGCGTGATCTGAGTCTGCAAACAGCCAGAGTTTGCAGTCCTTCAAATCATCTCCTATAAAACAGGACATGCGATGATCAAGCGTGGAGGCGACGTAGCACATAAGGCGGTGTAGTGCTTTGTCACAGTCGGTAGACCATTTGGTGATGCGGCTAGCCAGACCCTGCACAGCTCGAAGCAAATCAAAGCGAGCCATTCTAGCAGCGAAAAGTAGCTTCATGAGAACTCGGCTTGCGATGGGGGCTAGCTTCCCTTTCGGTTCAGCCTCCGCGTCAGTGGGGCGAGCGATCTTGTCATCATAAAAAGGTGTGGTCACCTTTTTGAGGTGATGCCATTCCGGGCCTGTGAGTTCTTTGTACCTATCTACAGCTTGCTGCAGAAAAGAACTCATGTCGTAAACGACTTGCTTGGTCGGAGCATACATGGCACCTTTGTGATCGCTCAGCTGATTGACATCATAAAAGGCATGTTTGCGAGCTTCTTTCTTGGCGGAGTTCTTGTCTCTCACGCGCTTAACTGCTGCAAGGGCGCTGTGCTCGGTGTGATTGGAAGTGGTAAGGTAGGTAACACCGGTCCAAAAGTCACTAGACTTCCGTCCAGGGCCCCCCGAATCCCACGTCTCGGTTGGCGAGTCCTCTTTGCCTAGAGGAGCAGCCACGGTGAGCCTGTGCGACCCGAGGTCGAGGGCGAGGGCTTCCGCCGCGCGAGGTTTGAATGGGACCTTGCGAGGCTGAACATGGTGCCGCACGATGACCCCTTCTTCCGGGAAGTACTCGGTGAAATCCTCCTTAACAACCACACTTGCAGGCTTGGCTGCGGGATCAGGCAAATGTTTGTCGAACACATGAGCAAAGGGATGATCTGAAGCATTCTGCTTCTCAGTGCGAGAGATGTGCTCACAACCCAAATATCTTCCGATTGGGGTAGGCGTGTCCATATCGATGCGGGAGCCAATGAGTTCCCAGCCTTTGGCAAGGTTCTCTTTAGGCCCGGCCATCTTGAAGTCATCCACGTACACTGCTAACAAGAGCCTAAGTGTCGGGTGAAAGAATACTGAGGGCCACGCCGCTGGGTAGACAAGCTCAAATCCTACCTCCTTGAGTCGTTTCTCGCAATGTTGCTCCCAGAAGCCGCCGCTATCTGGGTGCCCGTAGAGGGCCAACCTCAAACGCACAACGGGATCTTTATATTTCCCTATCCACTCTTTAGGCCACCGCTCCCGCGGGAGGCGTACCCAAGTGTCTGCTCCTTTAAGGGTTGTCTGAGTGTACGCCTGTTTGCCATCTGCTTGTTCTACCCCATGGTTTGGGGCATGGCCATAGGCGTCGAGAACCTTCCCTGCCTCCATGGTAGCTGGACTGGAGCCCAGCTCGCTAAAGAGAGCAGTGTCGTTGTTCTCATCTCTGACATTATTACCCTGAAAGACGGTTCGACCCTTGAACTTCCGTAAGGGGTTTTCTTTGGGAAGCTCGCTACCTTTTTCAACGCAGATTTCAAAGATCTTGCCTACATGGGCTTTCTTACCCTTCTTAGCAGCTTCTTTTGACACGTCATCCCACTCTCTGACAGTTGACATATCCCAGGCCTTCTTCTTGATGAGTTTATCCCATTCCATATCCAATGACGCTTGAGCGTCTGAATCCGTCATGAGTTCCTTTTTGCCCACTGGCCTAGCAACCATGGCAATGGCCTCAGTGATTTCCTGAAACGTTTCAGGGAATGCGCGGGCAACTTTGGTTCTATGCGGATCTTCAGCAGTTGGAACAGTAGGCATGCATGGGAAGTCCTGGGACCCAACAGTTGCTTGACCAGAAGAATCGGGACGTGCAATTACACTAAACTCGGTTCTACCAATCCATTTGTATGACAACTTCTTATTACGCCTCCTAACGTTGCGCCATTCATCTGCGTCGGGGATAATCTCTGTACCGCCTAGCGGCATGATCTTGGTGACTCTATCCCTTCCGAGAGAGGCAATTGGAACAGGGCAATCGGTGAGGTCAGGCGAAAACAACTCCTTTCTGGGAATGTAATGGAACCTGATCAACTTGTCCCCCCGGATGACCCATTCATCCTTGGAAGCATTCGCCACTGCGGCAGGCTTGCCGCTGCTGCTTGATGAACCACCACCACCAGACTCGAGTTCTCTGAGAGCATTCTCCCGGACTTCGTCTTCAATCGCTTTGTCTTTCTGCTTCTTAGACAACCGAACCCAAAGATCAGATGGAATACTATCTGGCTTTCTGGAACCTCTGGTCCCGCCATATCTACGTCCCAGGGTACCCCCCGAGTCGTAGTAACCACCCCCTTCCGGAATGGGAATCATTTTCCCACTCTTTGGATCAATGACCAACGAGGGTTCATCCTTCCGGTCGGCGTCAACGGAGTCCTGCTCAAGAGCAGGCTCGGCATCTTGGTTCGTCAGCGATTGTGACACTGGGCCTTCTAAAGCATCAGTAGCAAGACCTTGCTGGACCTTTTCGTACCTTTCACGCATGGGAAAAACAAACTCTCCGTTGGGAACATGAAACTGATAGGCCTTTACGGGTTTGAGGCATTCATGAAAATCCTGCCGATTTAATTCTTTGAGTGGAAGTGCAAGGATTTCATTTCGCCACTTCATCCCAGGCTGAAAATAATACCCAAGGAAAATTCCGGGCTCAGAAGTTGGTTCGAACCTGTCGCGCTTCCTGCGTTTGTTCTTGGGACCAACCCAGTAATCGACCCTACAACCAAAAGGAATGATCTTTCCCGGAAATGCGTACCCGAAGCGTTTATACCAAGGTGTATACTTAGGCCCATTGAGGTTGCTAACATTGAAGGCTGCGCAGGAGTGCTCCAACGCCTGAGGCCAATACACATGGGACAGCCCAGCTTGGAGCAGGTTGCTTCTCGTGCCTTCGGTGGTTGCACGGACGGCTCTTTCAGCAATGGCATTGGATTGATGAATATAGGCTTTCGACAATTCATGTCTCCACCCAAGAAATTTCGCAGAGGAGATCAACTCTTGCGCTTGGTCACTGTAAAACACACCCACCTCGTCAGAGGAGGAAACAAAATGCTGCAACGCGGCAATGCACTCGTCCTCTGAACGAAGGGCAGAAGGATATGCATAAGTGAACCCGGTGAAAACGTCCTTCATAACCAACGCCAAACGCGACTCTTCAATGGCGACACCCTTATCCCGATAAACAATGATGTGGTCAGCAGTCAGGTGATCACCAAAGGCCTTGGCTTCGATGCTGTGCGTCCCGTCCGTTTGATAGGACGGCTGCTTGTACATCTTAGCCCTTTGGCATACGTCGCAGAATGGATTCTTTGGCTGATGGGACATCAAGTGATGGGTGCTTTTTGCTTCGGCTTTCAGCTTTTCAAAAGCACGCGATCTCTTGCCATCCCCTTCGGGCACTCGACCTGCTCCATCACCTGGAGCAACACTCACTCCTTCAGGATGAGGAGGCGAATCGCTCGGTTCAGCAGGTACGAGGCTTCCTCCTTCGTCTATCTTGTATAGCACGGACTCGGGAGGATGAGCAGGAGGTGGAAGGGGTGCTACCGCCTCACGCAATTGCTCTTCAACTCTAGACCAGTCCGGTTCAGGAGGAGAGGGTTTGGCCTTAGAGGATGCGGATTTCTCCTTAGGAGAGCTAGTTGGCTTACCCTTCGATTTGGTTTCGGGTTTTCTGGCACGATCTGGAGAGCTCTTGGGCAAGTCCATCATTGCTAGATCATGTAGTGTCATCTCTTCATCAATCTCGACAGGAGCAGCAGGAACCTCAACGCTCCTCCGCGGAACAAGGAACCCATACTCTTTCAATTTGGTAATCTCATCTGGGCTAAGTTTATGGATAGCTCGGTTGACATAGGCCGTGATGCTCCACCTCTCACCTTTCCAGGGAGTGACGCAATGATAGGATTTGGGATTGAACGTCACAACATTCTCTCTTGAATCCCACAACTTCCCTACCATTGAATCTCCCGAAGGAGAGGTCATCACCTCAGTGTCACGTTGGTTCTTCTCGAGGCAGTTATCATGAACCCACAACTGCCCGCCTGTGAAGTCTCCAAGCGAGATTGTGAAATTGTCGTGGTCACGATGATTGTTCACATCCTTGTGCATCTTGACATCGGAATTACAATTCACAGCTAAGGACGTCACCGGCCCATCAACGCCATGCTTCCTAAGATATCCCAGGAGATACTGAATGACTTTGGGGTAGGACTTGGATCGTTTTGTGATCCCTTGCATTCCCCCATGAGAAAACGCTCCAAACACGAGATATTTTGAGTCGCGGTCATCTTTGACGCGGATCGCACTGCGACGGCTCTTGGGCTGTTTGAAAGTTGATTCTTTGAGTAATTTCAAGCACGACCGATGCGAAAAGTCCTGATTCTGGAGAAGCTCTTTCGCCACGATCTCGGGGTCCGTACGGCTCCCGCCTGATGATGCGGCGATCCTTCTTGCAGGGCACGTAGTTCCTTCTTTCCATGATTTGAGGTATGGAACATTATCCCGTACATCAAGGTAAACCTTCCCACTGCCAGGAACTTTGAAGTATGGTCTCTGAAATCCTTTCCAAATGAAATCATACCCTTGCTCCATGCATCTCTGACCAACCGAAAGAACGCTCGGAGTGTTGGGCAACACATATGGCTTGGCAACGCTATTGATGGAGGGAACCCCCACCTCGCATTGCCTGTTGGCATAGCCCGGACCATTCGCAGTAGAGATGTTGATTGGGCAGTCTGATTCAAATGGAACCAGATCCGCGAGCTCCCGCTCGGAGATGAGATCTTGAGCACTCCCTGTATCCCCTATCCATTCCATGGGATGAGAACATAACGCTGCATCTGGTTTGGCGGGGCACGTAACCCTTAGACCCTTTGGAATGCAGTGGTCGCAACCAAACTCGGTATCACAACAGAAGTTGCACTTTGCAGGCACACCATCGAGACTGCTCCGCACAGATGCGCGTAGCATCCTTGCTGCCATGAGCGCATCCTTGGTGGATTGTGCGTTGCCCGATGGAACGTCCTCAGTAGACCAGCTACTTGTGAAGGTACGTTTGGGGTATTCAACAGAGTACTTCAATTCTCCATCTCTAAGAGGGAAGTTGATATAGTCAGGGCTGTCATCGAATGACACCGCTGCAAGCGCCAGGTGTGTAAACTCGGAATAATGAGAGGGCCAACACGACTCATCCTTCCGGAGAGTGTAAGCATCGGCATGGTGAGCCGTGCCTGCCATCATTGCTCCTAAAAGGCAAACCGCAGTAGGAATGGAATGACCACCGCCCTTCTTGCGACCTGAGCCCCCAGACTTCCGCGAGCCATTAGAACCCTTGGAGTTAGAGTGCGCTGAGCCTTTCGCGCTGCCTCCGGACGGAGCCGCAGCACCTGGCTTTCCCGTATGCAGGAAGGTGCATTTGTCTCCACGGTCACAGCGACCTTGCTTGAAGAATTTGCACTCACGTGGACCGCGACTGGGAGAGCCTGTCCTCGAGGGACTGCGCGGACCACGGCCTCTGCCGGGTGTGGGTGTGCGAGGGCGCCCGGATGGCACCTGGTGCTTATACTTACACTTTTCACCGTTTTTGCAACTACCATTCTTGACGAAGGCAATGCAGAAACCTTTGGGCACCTTCTGGGGTGCTGGCATGGCAGGCACCTGAGGGGCGCCTGACTGTCTTGCTATGCGCTCACGATTTCTCTCAAGTCTTTTGCGATTGATGTGCGCAGTGGCAGCATCATACAGAAATTTGAAGGACCTCTCAGCGGTTCCTTCTGCGGCTCTTTCGTAGACATTGATGTCGTGCTGAAGGGCTCGGCACTTTTTGATCTGTCTATGGAAGAGAGGTTCAAGGACTGTGTCTTCAGGTGTTTTCTGAATCCCTGAAAGAACAGTATCCCAGTTCCTGATGAATGTCACCAAATTCTCGTTAGTCATGGTGACTGACAACAAGTCTTCCATATCATAAACAGAATTGTGCAAAGCATTGGTAGCAAAGTACTTGTGCAAGAGAAACAGGATCTGCCTACCTCTCACAAGCCTTCCGGCGTGAGCCTCCCTCTCTTTGAGGGTGTCCATCTGGCGTGCAAAATCGCCTTCCAGAACATTGGTGATCGCCGACAAGATCTTTGCATCAAGCGTGGTGAAGCCGTCAGTGTTAATGAGATCGCTCTCCTTAGCATCCTTATCCCAAACGTTAGCAAGCCATTCAAAGGCTTTGTCTGGCTTGTTGGAGGCAGCAACGACTGCTTCGCGAACCCTAATCCGCCAATTGCGATACTGCTCGGGTGTAGGAAACTTAGGAAAGACGATCTTTTCGGCTTCTTTGGACTTGTTCTTGCTACCTTCATCCTCAGTATCCTTGTCATCCCCCGACTTCTTGCTACTCCTGGCCAGGGATTTGAGCAGAGCCTTGAGCTGCTTGGGAGATAATCCTGAGTCAGATGACGAGGAACTACTGGAATCCCTCTTCTTCTTCTTCTTTTTGTCTTTCTTCTTGCTCTTTTTCTTCTTGTGATGGCTACTGGAGTCATCATCATCACTGCCGCCGTCATCCCCATCATCTGGGCCACCACCGTCAGGGGGGCGTCGGAACCTTGGTCCCATGCCATCCTGCGGAGGCGTGTTGATAGGAATCGTCGGAACAAGTCCCGGGGGCACAGTGGGCACAGAGCTCGAGGCGTTGGCATGAGCCTCAAGAGCGGCAATTGCCTTGCTGAGCTGCAATTTGAGCTCAGCGTTCTCTCTCTCAGCTGCTTTCCGCTTCTCGGACTCCTGACTAACGACTACTCTGAAGTCTCGGACCTCAGCAGAGAGGCGATTGATCTCAACCTCAGATGAAGCCTGCACTGCATTTGTTGCCTGGGCAGCAGAAACGCGTACACTGTCAAGCTCAGAGTTCATGAGATCAGCATTGCTCATGGCCTTAGCTTCCGCTAGGTGGAGTTGCTCCTGGAGCCTAGCATATGACAAATCTGCGTGCGATTCTGCAGATCTCAATTTTTCAGCCAAGGCATGAGCTTCACCGCGAGCCATGTTTATCTCAAGGGCCTGCGATTCCAATTGAGTTTGGCCTGTTGAGAATCTGGCTCTGGCTTGCTGTTCCTCTTCTCCAAGCCTTGTTTCGGCCTGAGCAAGTTCAACTCTTAGTTTCGACACTCCGGACATGACATGGCTACCCATAGATAGCATCTGCTCCTGAAAACTGTTCGTGATCTGACCAAGGATCTGGTTATGGCGATGCTCAGCAATCTGTTCAATCAGAGGTGATCTATCATTCTGAATGAACGTCTGGCTTACGTTAGCTTGGTTCTGCATGAGTCTTTGTTCGCCAATCATTAAGCTGTTCATCGTCGCGGAGTTCGGCATAGAGAAACTCGGTGCTGTCGGATTAAAGGTCTGAAGTGAACCTCTTTTAGCTACATTTGGAGCTGAAGCTTGTCTTTCATGAGGAGACACGACCTGCCAAGGTGTGGTGGTACTGAGGCTACTAGGTGCTCCTGTGGGGGCAGCAGCTTCCGAAACCGCACCTCTCTGGAAGAGACGCATGTCATGTATCCTCAGGGCATTGGTGGTCAAAGGAGGTTCACTGTCCCGGGGAGGAGCCTCGTCACCTGGAGCATTACCATCAAAGGACATACTCAGGCTACTAGCTCCGTCTTCCGGGATAGGTATACCTGCAGGATTAAGCGGAGCAGAATCCGACATTGCAGAGTTGGTCTAACAGAGTGCTACGGCTGATAACCTATTGTTACCAGCGGATAGCCCTGAACAATCATTTTCTTGAGCCACGGCGAACGGGTGAATACAGCTTGTGTCTTCCAGTAACTACATCATATAAACCCTATAAACCCACTAATCCCCCTAAACCCCCCAAACCCCCTAAACCCCATAAACCCCAAAAACCCAGAAGCCCTGAACCCGCAAAGACACTAAACCCTAAACCCCCACACCCCTAAACTCCTACACCCAAAACTCCTAAACCCCAAACCCCAAACCCTAAACCCTAAACTCCTAAACCCTAAACCCCAAACCCTAAACCCTAAACTCCTAAACCCCTAAACCCTAAGCTCCTAAACCCCCCTCAAAAGCCTGCCCGTAAGGAGCCTCGGCGGGAAGACTGCGGAGTTCCAGCCTCCAGATCGGGCTTGGAAGTTCAAAAGGGTTCTTGGGGTCTAGGGTTTAGGGTTTAGGGTTTGGGGTTTAGGGTTTGCAGGTTTAGGATGTAGGGTTTAGGGTTTGGGGTTTAGGGTTTAGGGCTTGATTTGGTTTAGGGTTCCAGGGCTCGGGGATACGGGGTGCTCCCGGCAGTCCTTCGTGCGCGTTTTCTTCCTCCACCTAACGGCTCTCATCAGCCCACGCCCAAGCCCTAAAAGTCCTATGAAAGCTAATTAAACCCTAAACCCTAAACCCTAAACCCTAAACCCTAAACCCTAAACCCTAAACCCTATACAGCAGAAGTTCGCGGGATGAAGCCGAAGCCCCGCAGTTAAGATTTTGAGGATTTGGGGTTTCGGGTTGGGGGTTTAAAGACTCGAGTCTGTGGCAGGCCCTACACTCAAATCATAAACTCTAACCCTTGAACCCTAAACCAAACTAAGTCCAAAACCCTAAACCCTAAACCCTAAACCCTAAATCCCTAAACCCTAAACCCCTAAACCCTAAACCCTAAACCCTGACCCTGGACAGCATCCGCTCCTGTAGCTGTCGATGGCATTTTTCACCCGCTGCGCCAGCCTGCTTGCAAGAGAGCGGGGGAGGGTTTAGGGTTTAGAGTTTAGGGTTTAGGGTTTAGGGTTTAGGGTTTAGGGTTTAGGGTTTAGGGTTAGGGCTTCTACACACCATCTTGGGTTTTGGGCTTCTCAGGTGTAGGGTTTACGGTGGAGGGCAAACTCTGAGTCCTAAACCCGAAAAGCCTCGCAGTTTAGGATCTTCGGAGAGAAAGCCTTGCCCTTCACCCAGAAAACACGTTTTATGCTAGGTTGCCCAGTAACCTAGGATTAAGAAGGGTGCCCTTTTTTGCTTAAAGGGGTTTATAGGGGAACCTAGAGCCCCCAAAAAGGGAATAAGGGCACTACTGGGCATCCTAGTATGTAATTTGTTAGTACTTGGAGTTGTATGAACCCTAAACCCTAAACCCTAAATCCTAGCCAGTGATGAGAGGGGCTTAGGGTTTAGGGTCCTCCCAGATCTTCTGGCATAGAGTTTTTTGGGGTTCTGTTGTTAAGTGTAGGGGTTTACGGATGTAGGGTGTTGATTTGGGGATAGAGGTTTAGGAGTTAGGTTTGTCCGCTAGGGGTTTGCGTAGGGTGGAGGCATTCCGAGGTTCCACTAATTAAACCATTTTGGACCCTGAAGCCAAACCCCTAAACCCCTAAACGCCTAAGCCACTAAACCTTAAAGCCTGAACCCCTGAACCCCTGAAAGCTCTGAACTCCTAAACCCCTAAACCCTAAACCTCTAAACGCCTAAACCCGACCACCCCAACTCCCGCAACCCCTTCACTAAGGCATTTGTTTCGGGGTACAATTAAGTTCAGTTTTTCGCCCCCCCCTCCCGCGCCCACCACAAGCTCTGGAGTCAGTTTTATACGTCCTACATACCCTGAACCCTTTGGCGTTGAGGCTTTGGAGCCTGGGGCAAATTTTAAACCCGACACCCGAAACCCGAAACCCGAAACCCGAAACCCCAAACCCTACCCTAAACAGCAGATGCTGCTGCGGATGGAGGGCCATGGTTTCTGGATAGTAACTTGCAGGGCAAAACTCCTGGACCCGAACCCCTAAACCCTAAACCCTAAACCCTAAACCCTAAACCCTAAACCCTAACCCAGACCCCGAAGGGAAGCCTCTCACACTCGGCTATGTGCTTCGTCTGCTCCTCTGTCGCGCAGCCAAGGCCCCGAAGCCCTAAACCCTAAACCCTAAACCCTAAGCCCTCAACCCTAAAACCCCCGCTACTTACCCTGAACCTTGAACCCTAAACCATAAACCCCTCGAAACCTGCACCCTAATCATTCAACCCTCAACCCTCAACCAAAAAGCCCCACCCTAAACCCTAACCCCCCCCCCCCCCCCAAAAAAAAAAAAACTAAACCCCCCAAAACCAAAGCACTGCTGTCTCCTGCTTCCATTAGAACCCTGAGACGACCATCCCACTATTTGGGTTTAGGATTTAGGACTTGGGGTTTCGGATGTAGGGTAATGGAGTTCAGCGTCTGTGGTTTAGGGTCGAGGGTTTGGCTAAGACCCGCAGTCGCAAATGCGACAAGCAAATGCCAGCCGGTAGAAGTTCCGGCTATTGAAGATGACCCTAAACCCTGAACCCTAAACCCTAAACCCTAGACCCTAGACTCTGAACCCTAAACCCTAAACCTTAAACCCTAAAACCTAAACCCTCAACCCTAAACCCTAAGCCTAAACCCTAAACCTTCCTTGGACCCCTGTCAGAAACCCAACTCAAGCCGTCCTGCTTGCCAGCCTTATTGCCAGGAATGGCCTGCCAGAGAAGTCAGGGGCCCCTTGTTCAGAGTTCAGGGTCCAGGGTTTAGGGTTCAGGGTTCAGGGGATTTAGGGTTTAGGGGATTTAGGGTTTAGGGTTTAGGGTTTAGGGTTTAGGGTTTAGGGTTTAGGGCTCTGCTCCAAATGGAGCACCAGAGCAGCCACGCAGCTGCTTTGACCCTCAAGAAACCCTTGACCCGACATCGCAAGTCCCAAGCTGCAAGCTCTAGACTCTCTAAGGCTTGTCCCCCCAAAAAAGAAAATTTAAGAAAAAGCAGATGTGTGTAATCTCTGTAAATGCAGTGGTACAGTGGTACATGTGCATCATATACAAAATCAGCAAAGAACCAAGCACGAACAACAGAAACCACTCAAGCCCTGTGTTGTTCCCCCGTATGATCATTCCCCCCCCCCCCCCCCCCCGCAGGGTTTCAGGGTTTCAGCCCCGTTTTAGGGTTCAAGAGCTTAGAGCTCTAGAAGTTCTACGGTTTGAGGGTTTCGGGCTTTGGAGTAGGTAATTCAGGCTTCGAGATCAGAGCGGCGGGCTTAGGCCTCTCCCCCCCCCCCCCCCCCCCCCCCCCCCCCCCCCCCCCCCCCCCCCCCCCTCACCTTATTGCACCCCATGTGGCCTATTTGGGGGTTGAGGGAAGCTCGTTTCTACGTAACATGCACAGCTGCCCACATGAGATAGCTTCGGGCTTTTGGTCTTCTAAGGGTTGAGGGTTTTTCGGTGTAGGGTTTCGGGGTTTAGGGGTTGAGGGGTTGAGGGGTTTAGGGCTCCAGGGGGCCCAGAGGTTTAGGGGTTTGGGGGTTTAGGGGTTTAGGGGGTTTAGGGGTTTAGGGGGTTAGACGGTTTAGGCTTTAGGGGTTTAGGGGTTTAGGGTTTAGGGGGTTAGGGGTTTAGGGGTTTAGGGGTTTAGGGGTTTAGGGGTTTAGGGGTTTAGGGGTTTAGGGGTTTAGAGGTTAGGGGAAGTTGCCGGTCGACGCCTTGCCTGTACAGATCGGCGCAGCTGCGTCAATGCCTTCCACAGGACAAACAGAAACCCCTAAACCCTAAACCCTAAACTCTAAACCCCAAACCCTAACCCCTAAACCCTAGACCCTCTCTACAGCAGCTCTTCAAGCGCCTTGGAGTTCTAGGGAGTCTGTTGCAGGCTTGACTTTTTCTTTGTATTCTTTCGGGGAGGGTGACAGAGCTGGTTTTGAGGTCCCTAAACCCTAAACCCTAAACCCTAAACCCTAAATCCCAGCAGATCTAAAAGTCGGCAACATATTCAAGCCAGGGCTGCTGTGGCTTGGTCCTAGCACATTGTAGCCCCGAAGCCTAAACCCAACACTCTGCACCCTAACCCCCTTTGAATACTAGGCTCCTGGGTTTAGGTTTAGGGTTTAGGGCTTCGCTTGTTTGGAAACAAAAACTTAGTAGCCCAGTAACCATATTATAATAAGGGCACCCTTTTTTGGTTGGTTACTTTATAGAAGGGAAGCCAGAACCAACAAAAAAAGGTAAAGGGTACCACTGGGCTACCAACCCAAATGGCGCTCGATTCATAGCCTTCGTAGGGGGGTACGAGGGTGAGAGTGGGTATGTGTAGGACCCCTTTCATCCCAGGAAGCCGATGCCCCACAAACTGGCGGTGTAGGGTTTAGGGTTTAGGGTTTAGGGTTTAGGGTTTAGGGTTTAGGGTTTAGGGTTTAGGGTTTAGGGTTTAGGGTTTAGGGTACGCAAAGAGCGCCCATGGTCAACTGGCTGTAGGGGAGCGAGACCGAAGATTGCTGCATTATAGGGGGTACAGCGCTCAGGTTCCGACTTCTGAACCTGCTAATTAAAAATCGGGTAACTATGGCGATAACCTTATTTCGGGGACGTATACCCCTACTTATAAGTACCCTTGAAGCTTGAGGTACCCTAAGCCCTAAACCCTAAACCCTAAACCCCAAACCCACCTCCTGCGCCGACGCCTGCTGGCTGTCAGCATCCATGGCAACTTCAACTTCGGGAGCAACTTGGGGCTGCCAACCGCCTCTCTGTGACCCTAAACCCTAAACCCTAAACCCTAAACCCTAAACCCTAAACCCTAAACCCTAGACCCTGAAACCGAAACCCCTAAACCCATAGAATTATAGAAGCCCCAAACCTGAGGACTCCTATAGGTCCACAATCCTCGACCCCAGTTTCAAACAAAGTTCTTTTGTTTTGGGCTTTCT